TCTGAAGCTCTCCACTTCGTACTTCAAGGACTTGCTCAACTTGATACAACAGAGTTTCACCTGGTTCCAAGTTGACTTCCACTAGGCGCTCAGTAACTTGCTCTTTCCGAGTCGACAACGTTGCTGTGAGTATGGCTCCACAAACCACGAGTGATATAACCGCAAAGATGGCGATGGTCCGCAAAATGGTTCGTTTTCTTGAAGCAGGCTTCCCTCCTTCAGAATCATCTTCAACATAATCGTTCACTTGAGTTCCCTTTTCCTTGTGGTGTTCCTTTTTCTCTGGAAAACCATCCATGATCGAGGATGAAGCTCCGTCCTTTCTGAAGGTTCAGTGTAATGAGTGACCTTTTTAACTCGTGAATTGCGCGCATGCGCAAGAGCGAGTTATAGATACGATGTGGGGAACGCCATTCGCTCGCTCGCTCGCTCGCTCGATTGGTCGATTCCTGTAAACTTCTTTTAAGATTTTAGGCTTTTGAGTGCATTTGACAGTTTTTGGCGAGCAATAAACAGACGAAATGGCGACCTTTGTTGCTAAGAATAGTGGTGGGGTGAAAAAGAAGCCAATGATAATCTTAAAAGAGTTTTTTTTTTTTTCGTTTTAGTTTCAGCAAGCGACGCCAGCGACTGGCAGGCATGCAAGGATTCACATTGAAATAACAGAACAACCTTCGTTTTTCATAAAATTGTAATTTACAATCCTTGAACTTGAAAACAATCCGAAGATTCATTGAAAATATCACTTACTGCGAAGCGCTCGGAGTTTACAGATGTTCAAAAGCTTTTTCTGTTATGGCGTGAGATTGAGGACAAAATTGATCATTACGTTTCGTCGCGTGTGTTTTTCCTGTGTGAAGCAACAAAAGTGCTGGCGACTGACGAAATAACAAGTTAACACGAAAATCAAATAACACCTAAACAAACAATTTTAGCTACCGATTTTCAATTAAAAAAACAGTAAATTTCACTTTTCACCCACATTTACTTCCAACCTTTTCTTTTGAACCAGAAACAAAAATGATAGACGTTTAAAACACATGACATCATCCACCTTGTCAAATGTACTAGCATGATCATTTCAATTATAATGCCTTATTATCCCAACGTTACTTTGTTTCTTTGCTACATTAGCGAACACTGAACTACTGCTCGTACTCTAGATATGACAATCAACCACAAAATTCCCTAAACCAGATAACATTAAATATAGTCTAAAAAATCATGTGTCAATTCACGAGTTTGCTCACAGAGCACTTTGATTTGAAGTATTTTTGTTCATTCGCGATGGCTTAATCTTTTGTTTTTTCGCCGTGACTGACAGCGCGATATTTTTAGGGTTTAGTAGACAGTTGAAATGACAAGTTTTAATTAAGGTTTGTTTTACAACTTTACCTTGAAGTTTAGGTTAGTAAATGAACTTTTCCGGGGTCAAAAAAATTATGGAACTGATCTTCAATCTCTTTGAGGATGCAAACTGCTGTAAATCAAAGTGCTCTATGAGCAAACTCGTGAATTGACACATGATATTTTGGATTATGTTTAATGTTAACTGGTTTAGGGAATTTTTTGGTTGATTGTCGTATCTAGAGTACAAGCAGTAGTTCAGTGTTCGCTAATGTAGCAAAAAAACAAAGTAATTGAAATTGAAATGATGATGCTATTATATTTGACAAGGGTGGATGATGTCATGTGTTTTAAACGTATATCATTTTTGTTTCTGGTTCAAAAGAAAAGGTTGAAAGTAAATGTGGGTGAAAAGTGAAATTTACTGTCTATCGTTGTAAAAATTGGAAAATCAAGGCAATAACTTCTTAATGAAAACATTAACGATTCCCTCTTTATCAAATGAGACAAACGAGAACGAGTTTTGAGTGATATAACTAAGCCAAGACTGCCACCGTCATTTTGGATCTCCGCCTGGGTAGATTTTAGTCACGTGCTAGGCAACGTATAATCAATAACAAGATAGAATTTCATTTCAGGCCTATTTATCAATTTTGTGGTGTATAACTTTCACATTTTAGTACGTAATACGTATTTTGAATCTTCAAATTGTCTTGAAACTTACAAGAAAATTGTTCGTTAAAAATTCACTGAAAATCGCTAGCTATGATTTTCGTGTTAACTTGTAATTTCGTCAGTCTCCGGCATCTTTTGTTGCTTCACACAGGAAAAACACACGATACAAAACGTAATGATCGATTTTGTCCTCAATCTCACGCTATAACAGAAAAAGCTTTTGAACATCTGTAAACTCCGTGCGCTTCGCAGTAAGTGATTTTTTTTAATGAATCTTCGGATTGTTTTCAAGTTCAAGGATTGTGAATTACAATTTTATGAAAAACGAAGGTTGTTCAGTTATTTCAGTGTGAATCCTTGCATGCCTGCCAGTCGCTGGCGCTGCTTGTTGAAACTAAAACGAAAAAGAAACTCTTTTAAGATTATCATTGGCTTCTTTTTCACCCCACCACTATTCTTAGCAACAAAGGTCGCCATTTTGTTTGTTTATTGCTCGCCAAAAACTATCAAATGCACTCAAAAGCCTAAAATCAAAAAAAAGTTTACAGGAATCGACCAATCGAGCGAGCGAGCGAGCGAGCGAGCGAATGCTATTCCCCACATCGTATCTATAACTCGCTCTTGCGCATGCGCGCAATTCACGAGTTAAAAAGTGTATGGGATGATCTTGATCTGCCGCTAAATCAGTTGCCAACCGCCATTTTGTGTTTTTGACGATGCTGTTAATCTTTCTGTTTATTATTCGACCATTGTTGTCAGGAGCTCATCACTTATGGGCTCCTGTTTTTGTCTAATTTACGATTTCTTATCATTGTTCTATGCTTAGTTTGTAGGGAAACCTTTTTAAAACAGTAATCGTTCCTTTCATTGCTGCTGCTTGCCCGAAGAGAACCTTATTAAACAGAACCAAACTAGTTCTTTGTCAAACGAGAGCAGATATGGATACAGATGTAGGAAGTCCCACATGGCAACTTTGTGGAGGTAAATTGGCGGCATGTAGATCAGCGAGCACGGATTCAAAGCAAATATACTTGATCATAGAGTTGCAACTGAAATTTAGTCTTGATGCCAGATTCAGTCAACATGACTAGGTGTTCAAGATTTTCTTTTGGCTTCAGCAAAGTGTGGAGTTTACTGTCACCTATAACCTACTGAAAGTAGCTGAGGACGCGTGCGGATTGTTGGAAGAACTCACAAAATGTTCCCACATTCTGCCAAAATGCCTGAAGTCACGTAGCCTGCATAGTGCAGGCGTCTTATTAGGGAGAGTTAACGTTACGAATCTCGCAATCGTTTATTCAACCGGCCCTGTTTTATTTGGAGATAGAGGCAGCGGCAGCAGGAGGGGTGCAGAAAGGCGAAATATATACAAATATTGACTAACCCATCCCCACCCCTCTCCTTATAAATTACAAGGTTAAGTAAATGTTGAATTCAAATATGGATTTAAATTGATTTTAATAGGATTCAACCTTTGACCTATCAGGAGATGGATGCATGTATGCTGTCATCGTTGGCAATTTTATTTTTCATGCACTGGGCATGAGTCTGTCAGGGTCATCTTGCAGTTATCATTTACTTCCCACAATATTTACATTAATATTAACCCTGTTTTTCCACAAACCGCAGATTAGCTCCCCTATTAAAAAAATTTCGTCGAAATGGAGGACCGATTCAACCTCAGCATTCTTTTTCTAAGCACTTAGAGCTATAATGCCCAATCCTTTTTTCTTCTTTGTTGCTTTCTTAGTGGTGTCAATGGAGTTTCGGAGAAGTTTCACTGTTGAACTGGATCCCAGCTGCAGAATTAAATCGAACTCAGCCTTGTCAAGCTCTCCTACATAGAACTTTTTCATTGATTCGATATGAATGGTGGCTTTCACTTTCATATTTATGCCAATAACCTTTTTCCTATAATGTTAAGCGATGAGGAATTTCGAAAAGAGCTCTTTCTGCGACTTCGGTGCTTGAGTCGTGCGATGCTGTTGTCAAGTTTGTCTCTTGCTCACCATTGCTGGCGGAGGTAGTGCTCGATGCGTAAGAATCAGCGGATGGTTCGCTTTTTTGCCTCTCCCTCGGAATTCTCTCATCCTGAATTATTGGTCATATTTTGGGCGTTGAGCTTTACGAAGCCAGTGCAGTTAACGTTTCATAATTCCTTATCCTTAAGATAGCTTCTTCGAGATTTCACGTCGATAAACAGTATTACGCTACTTGTAGATGTAAGGCTCATCTTGTAAGTTACATTAACATTATGGAATTGAATTGGCTATCCGAAATTCCATTGTTAAATCAAATGGACCAGGTCTCTAGTGACTGATCCATTGCCCTTATTGATAACAGAAGAACCAGCAAATGACAAATCCTTGCACAGTAGCCAGGTGGGAATCACACAAGGCCTTCAAACAAAACGTCTCTTTCCCATCTTCATTTTGTTTACCTTACTGGCTTATTTTTGCGGTGACTGCCAAAAAGGAAATGGAATTGATTGCTATGCTTGTTGCTTAAACGAATCAAGCTTTTCAAGATCAGCTTCATCGTTTTATTTGGGGTTCATTTGATTAACAATTTCAATTCAATTTAGTTTAGCCGACGAAAAACATTTTGATGAGCTTGCAATCTGGAGCCCATGTTTTCCTTCAAGATGGGAAGAAGCATATAATTTGATTCGGGAACGTAAAGAGAAATCGCACAAAGGCCATTAGTGGTGTAACCCTCCAGTTTACAAGAGGGAGGTAGTTATCCAAGGTTTGAAAGCTTTTTTTAATTTGGGCCATATTATTAATGGCAAATTTATTCACAACGAAAATCATTTGGCACTCAATTTAACCCGCTCCCCGCCACCCCTGATTGTGCCATGATGGAGATGATCAAGAAGATCTCGAACAAAATGCACAATGTGTAAGGTTCCCACTGTGACATTAATTATTGGCTACAACATCGAGCAACGTTAAGTTATCAATTCAAGGCTTGCGTTTTAACAGTAGTTTATTGTTCTTGCACACGAAACACTCTGGTTATATAGACGGTCCATTACTATACAGACTAGTTATCCATGGTATGATTGGAACTTTTACAGCTATCCTAACCAAAAGAGAAGGAGCATTACATTTTTTTAGACGGGCAATTCGTTTTGCAGTGCATCGTGTCGGTTTCCGACTCCGTCATAAGGCACAAAATGACGATGAAAGATTTTAAGCTGTCAAAACAGTAAGATTTTTTTCTTTTTTGCCCAAATTAAATGATTTAATTAACTTGCTTAGCTTTTTAATCAATTTGGAGAAGCACTGAGTACATAAATCATCTCAATGCTGAGACGAATAGTTACGAAACTACATGGGATCTTCTTTAACTCCTTAAAGTCTAAGAGTGACCAGCGGCTAGTTTCTTCTTTCAACATCACTCCTGGATCACTCATTAAGGTCAAAAGGAAAAAGGAAATGATCACCAACTAAAGAATCTCTTAAATGTAAAAGCAAATTCTCCTTGTCAGCACCTTAGTGAATCTATAGAGAACAGTATGGAGAATATGCATACTGATGTTAGGGTGTAAAGGGTTAATCCAACTAATCTGATGAAGAGCCATCAATCACCGGTCGACAAGCATTGGTTAATGCAAGTGACTTGTGACGTCATAAGCTTCATCTTCTCCGTTCCTGCCCTTTGATAACAGAATGGTACCAGAGCTTTGTACAATCATTGACGACCTAGATACCTTAATTGCTGATATGTTTGGATTTGCCGATCGCTGACACTGTTAATGCAGAATGGGTGAAAAAAAATCGCTTCGATCTCGCGTAGAAATGATCTAGGAAATAATGATCATACGACCACAATATTGGACTGGAAACCATAAATAGAATCCACGCATGCTCTCTCTAATCTAAGGTACTTCGACTTTAAGATTAATCAAATCCGAAAAAAACCAAACCTCTAAAAACACACTGGAAAATACTAAATCTTATTTAAAGCACTTTTAGATTAAGTGTCGTAAAGCCAAAACAACTCAATAATTACACAAGCCAATCAGAACAAATAAAAACACCCTGAAGAGCTAACAAAACTCAAAGTAAAAACAAGCAGCCCACCTAAAAGCGCGGGAAAACGTGGGTGACCGCGAGTCGTGATAGATGTAAGTTATGCATCAGATCGCCAGTGAAGGAGTGGCGGAGTTTTTTAGACCATTCATAGAGCAAAGTAAGGCAAAACTAATGCATTCTCGGATTATTTTCGACACTCAATTAAAAAGTTCTTTAAAAACTAAACAGTTCACAACACTCGGACCGCCTCGGAAAGTGTTATCAGAAACATTCATTAATCATATTTTGCCTCAAACTGAAGGCAGACCATCGGCCAAAACTGTGCAAGGTGCGTCGAGTACCCCACTTGCATCTAAGCCTCCACCAGTCCCACCAACATGACTTCCATTGGTAGAAGACACCGGCTTCCAGTTCAAGGATCCGTAAGTCAGCTGAAACATCTACGCAGATATCCCTGTAGGAAGGGCGATTTTCATCATACGACACGCTGATTGGAAGACTTCCGCTTATCAAGTGTCCGTCGCCGTATACCCCAGCCCTTATAAGCCATACGGATACAGATCCTTGCAAAGTGGCTGTTACTGATGCATAGGGCGTTACCTGAAATGACATGTAAGAGCTTTTATTTTATTAATTCATTTATATATTTGTATGATTTCATGAAATCCATCATTCTTTACCTGTCTCTTACATCATCGAAGTTATTGCTGACAGAGAGAGCGATTTATTATTCATCCTGTGAGCCATTTTACCCGTTATAAGGACAACGGAACCCGAAAATTATGCCACATTATTATACTGTAGAACATGTCAAAAAATAAGATGGAAAGCGGAGCAAAAAACATGGCCGCAATGAACGATTCACATTCAGATTTTTTGGTATTTTTTTTTGAGGTTTGACTTTTTGAGCATTGATCTTTAAGAGCGCTTGTCTGTAAAAATCAGACAAATTCTAAATTTCGCGGCAAGGGTGAAAAATTCGATTTCTTTTTTGTTTTAATATTAGATAGGCTAGACTATAACTAAAATCACTGGATACTTTTTTTGGCAAAATATCTTTTTATTTCAGAGAAAAATACAAATAACAAACTTCCATTAAAATCGTCATTTTTAGCGGCAAATTATTGCACAAGTTTGAGGGCTTCACATTCAAAAACGAATCACAATCTCGTCTTTTTAACACTCAAATCTTCTTTTTCAACCTCATAAGACCTCACAAAACGATGTTTGTAAACAGTGCGTTCCTCTTTGCGTGCAAAATAATTTAATTTCGAAAGCATACATTTCTCTTCAGTGAAAGTATTTTGTGAGTAAAGTTAATTTTCAGCATGTGCTAAACCTTCAAATGGATTAAGCTTTGGGCGGTAGAATTACGAAAAGACGTTTTCAATATTACTGTAAAAATTTCTTTGGGCAAATGATTGAGAGCGATACGAAAGCTTTTCAAAGTCCGTTAAAATGCAGTTATTTGACCTTTCGCGATCAACATTCCAGTTGCGAGTCTCACACATACTTTAATATGATTCAACCCATATGAGGCCGGAAAATGTACATGGTACACATTTCCAAATGCTCTAACCTCATTTGCCTTAGTCTATGGTTATCTTGTCGCTCGTCTTGTTTATAACGTCCGATGAAACTGCCTGTCAATCTGCGAACTGTCACCAACCTTCGTTATAAAACGTTTGACATCTTTCTGCACTGTGGCATCTTATTCAGCGGTTCAGTTGACTGTGAGTGTTGTTCAGTTTGTGGTGCAGTAGATCTGATCGATGCTTTTAAAAGTGGCACTACACATATGTTGCAGTCAACGTAGTTTTGTATACGGAGAGTCGTCACGCAATGCAAATCATACGATGGAAAGTTATTTTTTAGGGGGTAGGGGAAGGGGAAAGTAAAAAGACTTCACTCTGCTGCTGAGAAAGTCGCGGAGATCGGACCTTTGGCTAATACTCGTTGAAAAGCTAAATTTAGTACCTGCTAAAAATACTAAGCCTTAGTAAACAAAACCTGGTTTATGGTAATTACACGATGCCTATTGTTCGCTTAGAGGCGGGGCTTCGGACTTTTTTTTTCACAAATACATTAACTTACACGGTCAACTTTGTTACATAAAAAATGGAAGGTTGTTGTTCGTTCAAGTCGCTTATTGGCAGAGTTTGTGGTTACAACACTAGAGATCGAATGCGTGAAACGGAAATTGTTCCTTTACTTTGATGCACCAAGAATATCGCAAGTCGTGAGTCGGCTTTCAAATTTACCGGTCCTGAAGATAAGATCGACCTTATTTTGTGCCGAGCGCACATATGTCGGCCCCTCTGTAGCTTAAGGTTTTAGACGGTAGTTGGGTCTGTTAACAGCGGTTAATAATACCACTCCCTTATGCTAGCCCCACCCATTGGCCACGGAACATAGCACCCAAGCCTCACATAAGCCACACATCCCCACCGCTGCGTTTTGAAGCATGGTGTTTTAAAAATGTACAAAAGGTTCTCTTTCATGCTATTAGAGTATTTCTTGCAATTTTAGTGGAAAGAAAAACACCCCTAATAAGTACGACAGGCACAGAGCGCCAAAAAAACAAGAATAATTCCCTGCAATAAATAAATGTATTTTACTGTTTGTCACCAGACAAAGATGACACTATTACAAAAATGTTTACAGAATAAAATATTTTGTAGGTTCCAAGAGTTCAATTCTGATAGTGCTTAATTATATGGAGTTTTGCCCTTCACCTACCCCCTAAAGTTCCTTTGTCACCGGTATTGCGTGACAACCCAAAGACTCAAAGGGCCTACATGTTTGTAGTCAGCTCAGTTTAGCATTGAATTAGACTGTCAGATGTAATCTTTTAGTGCCTTGTAAACTGAGCAATACTCGCAGTCAACTGAACCGTTGAATAAGACGCGACAGTGAAGAAAGATATCGAACGTTTGACAACAGGATGGTGTTCGACAGGGTTGATGGTTTCATCGGACGTTATCATTTATACAGACCTAAATACTACGATCGACAAGAGAATCACACTAAAATGGTCTCTGGATCGGTCTTCTGCGGCAAATGAGGTTAGAGCATTTGGAAATATCTTTCTATGTACATTTTTCGGCCTCATATGGGTGGAAACATTAAAATATGTGTGACTCGCAACTGGAATGTTGACCGCAAAAGGTCAAATAACTGCATTTTAACGGACTTTGAAAAGCTATTGTAACTCTCTCAATCATTTGCCCAAACAAATTTTTACAGTAATATTGAGAACATCTTTTCGAAATTCAGCCACCAAAAACTTAATCCATTTGAAGGTTTAGCACATGGTGAGAATTAATTTTATTCACGAAGTATTTTTACTGAAGAGAAATGCATGCTTTCGAAATTAAATTATTTTAAGCGCAAAGAAGAGTGCAATGTTTACAAAAATAATTTTGAGAGGTCTTATGAGATCAAAAAAGAAGATTTGAGTGCTTAAAAGACGAGATAGTGATTCGTTTTTGCACGCGAAGCCCTCAAACTCGTGCAATAATTTGCTGCTAAAAATGACGATTTTAACGGAATTTCGTTATTTGTATTTTTCTCTGAAATAAAAAGATATTTTGCTAAAAAAAAGTATCCAGTGATTTTAGTTATAGCCTAGCCTATCTAACATTAAAATAAGAAAGAAATCAAATTTTTCACCCTTGCCGCGATATGTATGATTTTTTAAAGTGCGTAGATTTTTATCATGAAGAGCGCTTTTCGTTTGTGTTGTTTTCGTCTTTCGCGCACGCCTTATTCAATCGATATAGTGCTGATGCATTTAAGAAATCAAAACCCAAGATACTAGACAATGAAATAACAAAGGAATAATGAATTCCTTGTTCTTTGGGTTAGCATATAATATGAACGGATATTTTGTTCATCGCTCGTATTACTCTTCACCCCAGCGGCACTCGGAAGTTCGCCGTACAATTCGCAAAACATCCGCACGTATTATTTGGAAACCTTCGCCCTAAGGTGTATTTATTGAAATAAGGTGTGGAGAAGTTAAGAACACCAACACTTCTGCTCTCAGCCCAAACGTACACGAAAATCAGGATGTACTTCTCCATAATGGTGACAAAAAGCCGTAACTTATCCTCGGAAGCTAATCCTTACAACAAGAACTAGACTCTTTTACCATTCCACCTATTTTTTTCTTGCCAAATGAGGTTAAAATAACCATTGCCTATTTGACTCTGCGTCATACATCATGGTGTTCCAGTTTGAACGGCAAATATATGTAAATACTCTTACGACAAAGTTAATGCTAAAACAACAACATCGTTGCATATTAGAGTAACAGAAAAATTTCTTATCTGATGATTAAACACGCAATGCGCCCAGATATGTCAATCATTGTTTACATTACATTTTAACCATCGATTGAGTTATATCTACTCACCATTACGTTCAACTGGGATGGTGAGAGTGAGCCTGGGTCCACTGAGATGCTAAAAGATGGCTTAAGAATAAAATCCACATCAAGACTGACGACCCAAAATATCGGAATACTGTGGCTCTGTAGAAAAGAGAAAAAAAAACCAGTAAATTGCATTACATGTACATAAACTTTTTCAAACAGTGCGGTCATTACTTGGGCCTCCTGCGCAAAAAGCCTAAGTTTATAATTCGGTCTTGGTCGTCGTCTACCTCCCTGACAGGCAATTTTTTACGGCTAAATTATGTGGGGCTAAAGGTTTCAATATTATCCTGTTATCGTAGAATCGTTTAAAAGCAGTCATTATAGCGTCTATTGAAATAAGTAAAATTCAAAATCTAATACACGTAAATGAAGGCACACGAGCCACTGGTGCAATTTACTTTCTTCCATGCTAGTGCTTTTGTCGACCTTGTTTTTCGCAAACCGTGAGCTGCCTCCCAGAAAAAACCTGCCGAAATAGAGGCCCGATCTAACATCGACATTTTAAATTCAAGCACTTACAACTTCGACGTTTAGTCCATTTATCTTCTTTGTTTCTTTCTTAGTGGTGTCAATAGATTCTCGGAGAAGTGGCGCTGTTACACTGGCTCCCAAATGCAGAGTTAAATACAACTCGGTCTTGTCAAGCTTAAGGTTGACTAGCTTTTTAATTGATTCAATTCGAACAGTGGTCTCCACTTTCATATCTATGCCTATAATTTTTTTCTTAAAGAGTGTGAACGAAATCTTTCGAGGAGCATTAAGGAATTTTTGAACAAAGTTTTGTCTGCGACTTCGCTGGTGTCTTGAGTCGTGCGCTGCTGTTGTTAAGTTTGTCTCTCGCTCATCGTCAGCGGACGTGCTGTTCATTTCCTTTGAATCAACCGAAGGCTCATTCAGAGCCTCTCTCTCAGAGGTTTTCACCCTGAAATTTTGGTCAGATTTTGGTGCAACGAGTTTGACGAAATCACGAACATTAACATCTGCTAGTTCCTCGTCTTCAAGATAGCTTTTCCGGTACTTCTCATCATCAAGAAGAGTAACCTTACTCGTGAAAGAAACTTTCATCATGTCGGCTGTGAATCCTTTCTTAAACTGAACTGGCTCTCCGAAATTTAGTTGTTCATTTAAATGGACTTCACCTTTTGTTACCACGCCGTTGCTCTTGTTAAGAACTGATGAATCAGCATATAACAAGTCCAAGTCGATGTCAGATGTCATATTGGTGACATCCGACCGATTGAATTTGTTTTTAATAAAAAGTTTGTCATTTTGCGATGTGTTTGCTTCTCTGTGCATCTTCACAATTCCGGGAAACATGGAAGATTTTTCAGGTTTTGGCTCGGAATTTGGGTCTGGTTTCTGTCCGTCTACACGTTCGTAAAGGTTGCGCTCAACAGTTGGGAGAAGCTGGGTAAGTATGGCTCGGGCATAGCGTGTTAACCCCTCGTCGGACTCTGGATTTCCGTATAATTCAAAGGACTCATCTTCTTCGGTGGATTTTGACGTTTTCTTTACTTCAGACCTGTTGAAAACATCCCAATTGGCAATTAGCATGATACCGTGTTCAAGAAGGTCCATTTCAGGTTCCTGAACAATTTTCAAACGAGTCAAAATTGTGGAATATGAATATGACTAACAAAAAAGTAAAAGGAAGGGAAATGGAATTGGGAACTTCATGTTTTAAAAGAGTATAGCTACTTATCCTGCTAACTCCTGAGGAATTCAAAGCCAACTGCTGATAGAAATTAGAAACACAGATTATAGCACTGGAAGAAGTTTTTGAGAAAATTTTGTCCTCTATTCTCTAATTGAGCAGAAACTTACCCGATATCTCTACGTGAAAATTAAGAACTGATATCCGTATTTAAAGGGATGTGGTTTGCGATGTATAAAAGGCTTAAAATTGGGAATCAGAAAAAGAACGCTTCTTTTAGACAAAGCATTCAATGTTGCAATACGACCCACCGTCGGTCAGATGGTGAAGATATACTCCTGTCTAAAAATAAATGTTGTGAATGCTTTATGAAAATAACTTCTAATAACAAAGCATGTTTTCTTGCTTCATATCTTAAGGAAAGAAAGAATCATTTTAGAGAGGGAAGTTTGAATTTCTTTTGGACATTTTTGGCTTTAAAAATAATTTTTACAGACAATTCCGTGATCAGCCACCCCCCCCCCCCCCCACCTCCCACCTCAACCCCAATTAACCGATAAGAGAGTTAAATGATACTATTTCAAACTGAAATTTCGTGACCGAATCAAAGTGAATCATAATTATACATTATTAGTTTGAGTAATAAGTGTAGCAATTGTCAGTAATTGTTCGTCTGGCTCTTCAGATTATGAAACTATTTGACTTAATTGCTCAGGCTAAGGTAGCGGTAAGTTGAATGGTTTTCTGGTTTCACTATGATATTTATAAAAAAAAAACCTCCATCAGGGCAAGCAATCATGCCTATTTAATTGCTCTCTGGTATTATCGACATGACTCAGAAGACAAATTCTTTCAAATGCTTTCTTGCTACCTACCTTGAAGTGCGCTCAACCCTAACCAAAAAATATAACGATCTTCCTCGGGTCACGTTACCGATTTTTTCCAAGTTTTCTCCTTCAGCATCAATACTGATGATCTTAAAAACAAACCAATACTCCTCTGATGTCTTGTTTATTACTTGAAGAGCAACGATGGTACTTAGTGTCCCTGAAAAAAATGACCAAATTAGCTAATAGAAAATATAGAAATCTAGCACACTAAGGCACTTTCAGCTGATAAACAATCCTTGTTGAGTTAAATTCGATCTGATTGCCTGTTTTCCTGACAATTGTAAGGAAGCAAGACATCAAGCTTGATGAATATGCAACTTCAATATCTAAACAGCAAATTCATTCTTCGAAGGATGCTGATTTTGCGTCGTAAAAAACCGGAAGTATAAAGGCAGCTCAATAAACCTCCCGGTTGATATTTTGAAAGTAAAACACCGTATCAGTGTCTTTGGTAGGTTGACGGTTCATTAACCTTGACTTAACCTTGTGGGAAAATTAAAAGTACTTTGTTGCTCAGCTACCTCTCAAGCAATCAACTGGATTAAAAAAAAAAAAAGAAACTTTTCTTGGATTCCGAACTAGAAAATCGGAGGTCCTAATGTTTTTGGTGGGAGTCTTGATTTAGAAGACACCAAAAGGCTATACCAAATTTGCAGCCCATTTCTAAAAGAACGCGTCGAGATACCAGATGATGAGAGGTGAACTTCCAAGACTAAATGCTAACTATAGACGCCTTTCTTACACAACAATTATGACACGACTCTTTAATTTAATAGGAGTCGAGGATAAAACGATTTATAATAAGAACCAGCATGAAATGGCAATTTTAGATGCAAATTATTAAGTTAATGAAGAACCAATTGTCTACATGTCACCACCAGAACTAGACAATAGATATCAGGCTAAAAAAACCTGTGCATCAACCAACCGTGGAACAATTAACAACTATTCACCGAAACGGAGGTGGCTATTGATGGATATTTAAGTGCCTTTCGATTATCCAAAATGCCTTTCAAACTGACATATTAAAGACTGGAAAGAGAAAAGCCACTTTCCGAAATCTCAATTGAGAATAAATGGACGAGTACTCTCCAAGTAACTCTGGAACTGATGACTAAACTGCTGGTGCTGATCTTATTAAATTTCTGAAGAAACAATTCCGTATGGCAGTATCAACAAAACTTACCCAGTTCGACCATAAAATATATTCACGATATAGCCAAACTGGATTACTATGCAAATTCAATGCGCCTAGCCTGCACAAAAGTCTATTATGTCTACCCCGAACATTCGAAAGTAGATTGATATGTCCAATGCCGAAGTAAATTCGGAGTTGAGCTAATTATGTGGGTATGCTGGGTTTAGCGTTCTAACGATGAATTTGATAAAAACAATTTATTGAGACGAAAAATTCGAGAAAAAAAATTTCCAAAAAACCACACTGAAGTATGCATATGCAAATGTCTTCAAATATATAATGCTATTTCAAATAAACATGATTTTCCGCGCAAAATCAAATCCAGCGCCTCAAAGTCACCGAAAAGGGACAGCAACAGAAGACTTAGGATGATCACAAGACTATATAAACCCCGTATTCTATATCTCTGTACGGCCCGAATTAGAATTCTTAACCTGAGATTTGATTTCCATTTTGATTGCCTGCTTTCAATGTTTTAGGAAAGCACATTCACTGTTCTTAATTATCTTGTAAATTTCAGAATGTGTCTGAAATCTAACAAAATGCATTGTTACCTAATGTCATCTTTAACGTTAAAGGTTTTTTTCGAAAAAATTGCCTATGCGACCAAAAAGGCTATTTCAAAATAGAAAATTCGTAAGTTTTAGCCAGCGACGAAAGGCAGTTCAAGACAGCATCAAATGCTTAATTAGTAGCGACATCAAATACCTCTCTGAAGCTCTCCACTTCGTACTTCAAGGACTTGCTCAACTTGATACAACAAAGTTTCACCTGGTTCCAAGTTGACTTCCACTAAACGCTCAGTAACTTGCTCTTTCCGATTCAACAAAGTTGCTGTGAGTATGGCTCCACCAACCACAAGTGCTATAACCGCAAAGATGGCAGTGATCCACATAATGGTTCGTTTTCTTGAAGCAGGTTTTCCTCCTTCAGAGTTATCTTCGACATAACCGTTGACTAGAGTTCCCTTGTTATTGTGTTGTTCCTTTTTCTCTGGAAAACCGTCCATGATCGAGCTTGAAGCTGTACGACCACTCCGTCCGTTCTGAAGGTTCAGTGTATTGTATGATCCTTTGCATTATTCTTGTTCATCCGCCATAGCTTAATCTTTTGTTTTTTAGCAGTGAATGACAGTGCGATATTTTTAGGTTTTGTAGTGTGACCTTGAAGAATGTTCTAGAAGTAGCTGTGTCCTGCTGAGTCATCCCCGAACGTTCTAGATCCTCAACCGTACCTATAAAAGCCGAGCTTGTAACTAGATGTAGCGAGTAGTTTAGTTGCTGGTATAGCCCGTCAGATATCAATAAAGGTGTATGCTGCAGAATACAAGACGTCCACACTTCATGGTGTTAGGAAGTGGATTACAAAATTGAAGATAAATTTCGTCGATCCAAGCGAAGACAGGGCCTGGAAGGATTAACTGCTCTGGCTGATGACCTGTTAGTAACTGGAGCAGCAAACACCCATGAAGAAGCCTTGGCAGACCATGACAGAAATCTGATTGCGTTGCTACAGAAATGCAGGGAGCGATACTTCAGACTAAACAAGTTCGTCTTCAAACAACAGAAGTTGAAGTACTGTGGTCATATCTTGACTTCTGAGGGTATTTTACCAGACCCAGCCAGAGTTGAAGCCATCACTCAGATGCCGAGACCACACAGTAAGACTGGGAAAATTTTTACCTCAGCTTTCTGACGTACCTGAACCTCTCAGAAACCTAACCAAGGAACAAAACCAATTCATTTGGTCGAAAGTTCATCAAGATGCCTTTAACAAGTTGACTCAGCTGATTTCAGAACCGCCACTACTCCGCTACCACGACTTGGAGGAAGAAGTAACGATTGAGACAGATGCAAGTGACTATGGACTAGGAGCTGTTCTACATTTGCTAGTCGCACTATGACTGAGACTGAGAGACGTTACTCTCAGATCGAGAAGGAATACCTCGCACTGGTGGAAAAGATTACAGCAGTCACAGATCATAAACCTCTAGAAACCATACTCGCCAAAAGTATCAACAGCGCGCCTAAGAGGTTACAACGCATGATGCAACGACTGCAAAGGTACCGCCTGAATATTGTGTACAAAAAGGGAACTCAGATGTACATAAGTGATCATCTGTCAAGATCTGCCCTCCCAAACGGCCGAACGCAAAAGAAGGAAATAGGTGATTATGAAGTCTTTGCAATTCACGCAGAAGAACTTCTCATGAAAGAGATCGAAGGTACAGATCCAAATATCTTTCATAACATGACAGATGCAACCCTTCAGAAAGTAGCAACAGCAACCCCAAAAGATGGAAATTTCATGACTTTAGCTGAAATTATAGCTAATGGATGACCTGGGGACAAGACGCAAGTACCGCCCAATGTCCGAGACTGCTGACCGTATAGAGATGAACTAGCAGTTCAGGATGGAATAATCTACACAGGAACGAGGGTGCTCATTCCCACGGCTATGCGCCCACAGATGTTAGTCACCTAGGAGCAGAGGGATGCATGAGACTCGTGAGAGATACATTGTGTTGGCCATCGATTCATCATGATATAAAATATCTCTGCGATAACTGTTCAATATGCCAGGAAGCTAAGCCAGATCAACCTAAAGAAACCATGCAGAGCCAGCCTATTCCAAAGAGAAGATGTCAAATAGTCAGTACTGATCTTTTCAATGTGAAGAAAGACGTCTACTTGGTAGTGGTGGATAATCTCACAAAATACTGGGACTTGAAGCAAAGAAACCGAACAGTGGTTTCCACATTCATCGTCTTTTTTTATGAATAGGCGTAAGCTTAGCTGTTTTCCAACCGGAGAAAACTGTTTTATACTCAATGCTACTGCGATAAAGCCAGACCAGATAAGAGACAGTGGCGTTTCCCGCAAGTCTTAGAAGCTTTTGAGGAGTATCATAAGGGCCCGTAAACTTATTAATTTTAAGCGTATTAACTTTGTCTCGAACCGATTGCGTAGAAACGGTAATCTCTGTGAGTGTTGGCGGCTCATACATTGTGTTGGCTATTTCCTCGATGGTTTGTTGCCCATTAGTCATAGGTGGTGGGAGTTCTTTGGCCAGTTTTTCCCTTATCGTTGAAAAATATGAATTCATCAGCTACGCTTTCTCCTCATCAGCAAGCACAAGGAGCGCCATCGTATCTCTTCAGAAGGCCAATATTTTTCGTGTGCACTTTGGGACATGCGTCTTCATTCAACAGGTTCAAATAAGCGCTCGTTTTCTTAACTTCTTAAAACATTTTCACAAAGTGGGATGCTTTTGCTCGTCTTAGGGCCAGGGTAACTTAATTTCCGACCATTTTACACTCCCCCCTTGGCTTTGAACGTTTGGTTGAGATCACTGTCTTGAATAACTTGTATTTCGGATACATTTTAAGTCTAAGGTGGCTCGATATCCGTGATACCGCAGTACTTCTTACTTTTTACTTCTTTCTAGGGAGCATGATCGTCACAAATGCTCCGAAAAAGGTTCTGCCAAGCCCAAAGAATAGAGTCTGCATCGTCATTTACCATCACTTACCATCATTTACCGCACAAAACCTTTATTTAATGTTGAAGTCATGCAAAAATGCCAGCAGCTTTCAATTATTAGCTATACTAGTGATAGATATTTTTGTTTCAGCTTAACATACTCCCGAGTATAATTAACAACTATTCACAGAAGTGGAAGTGTTCACTGGTGAATATTTGGAGATGGTGCTCTATGCGTTTTAATCAGCGGAAGTTTAGTTTAAGGTCTCTCCCTCGGAATTTTTATCCTGAATTCAACCTCGTTCCCAGGGTCTCTCATTTTCCCGCCCCCTGGAGCGAGCGAGGAGAGAGCGGGAAGATGAGAGACCCTGGGAACGAGGTCGTCCTGAATTATGGGTCATTAGTTAGGGCGACGAATTTCACGAAGCCAGTGTAGTTAACGTTAGATAATTCCTCAGCCTTAAGAAAGCTTCTCAGAGATTTTACGTCGATGAAAAGTGTTAAAAGATGTAACGTTCATCTTGTAAGCTACAGTACTATTCTTGAATTGAGTTGGCTCTCCGAAATTCCATTGTTTAGTCAATTGGACTTAGTACAGCAGGCTTTCTCCTGGTTCCTAGTTTACCTCCACCAAGCGCCCCAAACGTCGCTTTTCCTGGGTCAACAAAGTTTGCCGCCAGGATGACCCCACACGCCAACAGCAAAATAACCGAAACGACGAACGTGTTCCTAAAAACGTTTCATATTTCTCTAGAAGATTATAGTTGCCCATAGCTTCCTCTTCCTTGTGGCGTTCTGGCAAACTATCCGTGACTGCGAAAGAGCCTGTCGAAAGAGCGATGTACGACTGCTGAGATCCTTCTGAGAGGTCAACTTATTGTACTGAGATCTTCCAGTCCTTCCGCAAAAGCTTGATCTCATGTCTCAGTTTCTGATCTGAATGACAACCCGGGTAAGGGGAGGGGGGGATACTTGGGTAAATTTTCGTTGGGTATGGGCCACTGGCCTCTCAGAACCCTGCCCCTTTACAGTCTATTCTTTGGCCAATCATAGATCACATCTTAGTAACTTTTAATAATAAGATAACAACTTCTTTAACCACAAATCTTCTTATTTTTAGTATCCCCACCTACCAGAATTTTCTTACCCCCAAAATTCCCGCAAATATGCGACCCCGTTCTTGTAACTATCGAAAATGCAACCCCATGATAGTTAATCCAGTCGTGAAAATACGACCCCATCCAGCCACATCCCCATTAGCCTATTTCCAACAAGCACCCCCCTCACCATTCCTTCGGACAGAAAATACTCATACTTCACGTTTATTCACATGCAGATTACCGATTATAACATTGCTAACAAAACTTTGTTTGCTAATCTTACGTACCTGAATGATTGATTGCAAACCTGGCCTAACTTAAACCTCTAACAATAATTCCTAACATACACGAATGAATTACTTACTAACTGGCATAGTGGGAAACATGTTATTTCTGCAAATTACTACTACTACTACAAAAAACTACAACTTATATTCGGGAGGGGTCATTATCTTTCGCCAGGGAGGGGGGTAGGGGAATTCGTTTGTGTCGCGATAAAATTTATTTGATCTCCCCGTTAGGTTCTGACCCCGTTTCCTTTATTGGCAGTTAATTGGCCGTCAATATTAATATATCCCCCCTTAATACTTTGGCGACAACTGACCCCCTCCGTTCGTGTTCGCGTTTCCCAATGAAAACCATGTTATTCCCCAAAAATCTCCACCTCCCCCCCATGGCAATACAAACCATCAAGTTTTATTGATTTTATGTCTGAAATAAGTTTGCCCACTTTTTTTAACGAGGCTAGAAATTTGGCAATTACTCTCAATGTTTCAATTTCTCTTTCAAGTGAAAAAACACTCTGAAAAAATTCAAAGGTGAGAGAACTTTAGAGAACTTTGTGGTGTGGAATTCTTCATAATCATACTCCTAATTTCAAAATCGGCTCATTTGTAACGGTCCGCAAGACCACCCCTTGAGCTAGACTCCTCTTGGTTTTGTAGTTAATACTTGTCGTGAAAAATAGGATCGATCTCACTCTTTCCTTTATACGAATAAACTTTGCTCCCTTAAATCAGTCCAAGAATTATCACTTCACTTCTCATGTTGCCTTTCTTTTACAAAAATACGAAAGTTCATCGCCATGGACCTTTCGAATTTAGCCCAAGTTTCACGGCAATCTCGTTATGAGGGCTTTTCCCTACTTGCAAGGGAAAAGCCCTGGTAACGAGTTTGGTTTCACGAGATATGCGTAAGGTGACCGCAAAGCTTAAGTTTTTTTCCGTGTTCAAATATTTCATCAGGTACCCTTTTTCTAGAACTGTCTTAAAAAAAAAACAAAACAAAACAAAACAAAAAAAAACCCGTGCTTCTTTTTGTCATGGTAAAATGGGTCGTACCTTTTGATGTGAGCTCAATTTAAAGATCTTCACTTTTTAAGTTTAACCACTAAGTGATTGGGACCAAGATACTTTTCTCTATCATGCTTCTGGAAAACATATTTTTATTTGATCGACTTCTAAAGATTGATGCTTCTGCTGTTTTGTTCATTGAAACTCACAGGATAATAGCCGTGTTTACCACATGTAGATTTTCCCTTCTAATCATGACGTCCGCAATTTTGAGATGAAAACCCACTCAAAACACTAAGAGGTTGCGTGACTTGCATGCATAATTACAAATGACAAGCAAACATGACACATCAGTTTTCTTATTTGCGGTCATCTGTACAAAGGTAACGCGGGCTCTGGGTTACTTCTATTCAAGTCGCCTTGGTTCCATCCCATCAACTTATCTGGTGTCAAGAAGAAAAGCACCTCGTTCTTTTATTGAAGTACATCATGTCGAATAAAGTAGAGTTCATTAAGGCGCAAGTGAAGGATAACAAGGTCGTTGTTTACTCCAAGACCTACTGCCCTTTTTGTAAAAAGGCGAAAGACGCGCTGAAGGCTGCCGGATTGAAAGACTACCTCCTGGTTGAGTTGGACGAACGCGATGACGGGGATGAATTTCAAGACGCCCTTCAAAAAATTACTGGAGGCAGATCGGTAAGCTTCAAAACATTCGTTTCATTGCGTTTTTACGAGCTTAAGAAATACACAGTGAAAATCTGATAGGAATCACCTCTCTTCGGAATTAAAGACTGTTTGTTGCCTCGACCGAAATTGCAAACTAATCGTCTAGTCGATCGTCGAATGAATTATGCATAATTAAACGCGCGAACGCCTCTGAAATATACTTATTCCGTCAGTAAGGTAAATTGATCACCAAAACGTCTTGAAAAGGGCTGGGTATTTCTTCTTCAGTCTTTCAAACTCGGTAAGATGTTTGTGTGTTCTCTTCAGGAATGGTATTTTTAGTACTGACGTTTTACAATTCTTAGCGGTTCGTAATGATCGAGCAGTCACGAGTCTTGTATTCTATGAAGGGCGAAGATCTCATTTTAGTAAGACGTGTGAAGATCAGGAGGCTTTCTTATTTTTGTTTTTTTTGAAAAAAAAAAGCTTTGAGTGAAGCAAGATTTTCTCTGGCCCTACTTCACAACTTTTTCTCTATTTTTCAGGTTCCACGAGTGTTCATTGGAGGTACTTTTGTTGGTGGAGGAGATGATGTCCAGGGGCTTCAAAACAAAGGACAACTGAAGCCAAAGTTAGAGAATGCAGGAGCTTTGTAATAATCAAATTCAGTTGTAAACAAATGATGTTTCAACGGAATGTAACAGTTGCGTAGAATGTTGTTTATTTTCAAGAAACAGTACTATTAGTAGAAGTTTCACCAGTCACAAGTCTTTTTGATGTGTTGTAACAGCCTGATTATGTGCAGATTCAAGTCAGTAATAAAGAATTTGCAACAAAAATTTCTTTGCAACTTTATTTTATGTTTGATTTTCACTTTCTATCTGTAGCCCCACATTGAGAGCAACTTTTGGGACACATCAAGTCCCATATTTTATGTAGTCTTTATCTGTTTGTGTTAAACATTGTTGAAAATGATTCCATGTTTTAGAATGGCCCCTTAACCCTTAAGATCTGATTGTTAACTTTCTCCACTAGCTGCTACAGATTTTGGTGTCAGATTAAGATGAAAACTTATACCTGATCAGTTTGAATATTCTCATAACTTGTTTGCTGGATAATTTAATAGGGAGAAGTCACATGTTGATCACTTCTGGGTTTAAGGGGTACATAAATTTCCTTAAAGGTTAGAATTGAGTTTCAAATCAAATGTGAAATGATAAGAAAAGGTGAAAAGTAATGATACATTCTCTGAAACCTATGGCTTGGTGGTCAAAACAATGTTGCATTTTGGGTTATCACCTCATGATCAAAATGTTTTCTAACATCCTCAGCGAACTGCATCAGGAGTTTATTTTTGGTTAGTTTTAAAAATGGTTGTGTTAAGAACTGGATAACAATGTGCCATTTGACACCCACATTGCATATGGAGGCTAGGTGCCTAAGGGGCCCAGGGACCACGACTGCAGTTGAACCCCAAGGCACTTGAACACCTGACTGGCCTGTCCACCTGCCCAACCTATAATCCAGCTACGAGTTTCCCATGCCATGCCCCCTATGAGCACCTATCACACTAGAGCCAGGTGGTTGAATGGAGGAAAACATAAATAACAAATAGAACAACACATGCACTGGTAAGGTATACTGCTGGACAAGGACAGCCTTAGGGCTTCAATGACCACAGCACGCTACAGAATGCAACAAATGCTACATGATAGCTAACAGTTGGCCAAGGCATGAACAAAACGCTACTGACCATAATTGCTCCAAGTCTAGTTAACAATATTTTACATTATGGATCAACATTAAAGATCATATATGCACATTGAACTCTTAGTGCACCCAGTAAAATGCAGCAATTCCAAACCAATAATTTTCTTTAATCAGGTCTTTGACCTCCAAGAGTGACCAGCATTAAATTTCTCCCTACAATATCACGCCTGAATCAGACATTAAGGTCATGAGAATACGGGAAATGATCACCAAATAGAGAAGCCCTTGATTTTCATACAAATTCTCCTTGTCAGCACCTTATGAAATCTTTATAGAATAGTATAGAGATTATCTATACTGATGTTAGGGTGTCAAGGGTACACACTAAGCTCAGGAGCCTCAATTTTCAGTCTCAATTTAGCCTGCCATGCAGAAATTTCAGGGCATTTTAACTGTACCACTAATGGCATTCTTTTCTCTTAAAGTAGTGTAACCCTTTACTCTAAAGAGTGACCAGCATCTATTTTCTTGTTAGATTATCACAGCTGAACATTACAGAATCGCGCCCATTGAAAAACGTCGCACGGGAAAATGCAAATAAGCTAGAAAAGAGAAAGAGAGCATGCGTAACTTCACGCAGGCCTGTCAATCCGACTGTCAATCATGTAATCCCCGTGTACGCAGTGTTCGAAAGTATTGTTTCTTGTGCAGACAACCAAAACGTAGCGCTTTTCATAGAAGAAGAATAGACGTAATTAGTGGTGTTATCTTGATTAGGTTATATTGTTTAAAAATCGGTCAGATGTAAAATTAAACTACCTTTCAAATGCCGGGTTTCAAAAAAATTGCAAACATTAGGGAAATTAATGCTTCTTAAAGAAGCTTCTGTCATTGTTAAAGAAATTCTCCCCATCAAAACCATAGGAAATGAGCTGGGAGCAGTAAGGAGAATATGCTTGTTGATGTTTGGGTGTAAAAGTGACTGGCATCTAATTTCTCCTTACCTCATCACTCCTGAGTCAAACATTAAGGTCAGGAGTATAAAGAAACTGATCACCTATAAAAAAAAAGCTCTTGATTGTTAAACAAATTCTCCTTGTCAGCACCTTGGGAAATGTTTAGAGAACAGTATGGAGAATATGCATATTGATGTTAGGGTGGAAAAGGTTAACAAGTAGACACTATTTCATGACTGGGCATTAACCCATCCACAGAGCAAAAGTTGAGCCATATTGTATTTAAAAGCTACCCAATTCAGTGAAGAGCAAAAGTTTTTCACCAGACATTTCTATAATTTATTTTATATCATATTGGTGTAAAATTAAGCTGAAAAGTACTTAACAATTTTGACAATTCTATTGGGATCTGTTGCAGACTAGCAAACTACTTTTCATCTCTTAATTAAAATGGTAACAAATATTTTATGCGTGTTGAAAAGACATACTGTGATTAAAAGTGAAATAAAAATCTCATTATTATTTAACCAGCACTATTATCCAACTGCACTGAGTAGAGTAGAAATAATGCACCCATCTAGTAAAAATATCACACAATATTTGAACAGTTGGTTATTTTGTAACTGTAAAAAAACCTATTTGATGGTCAACTGCATGTGCAAAGCTTCTCTATCTGCTTTGTTTTTTACCACCTTTGACGAAACGCACAAAAATAAGGCAATTGAATAATAAATAACTTATTAGATGTTTGGTGCATTACATTTTCACTCATTACAAGGGCTTGTCAAAATATGGCAGAACTCGTAAAAATACTCAGCTATACTGCAAACCAAATTGTCTAATAAGAAATATACATCTCAATACATGGACACACCATGATTTATAGAAAGGCTGTGGCCACTTCATTCCCCAGGGCTAAAAACTGTTCTAATTTCATATCCAAACTCATTTTTGTTGGAAGGGTATACAGGCATCGAAGCTGGAATATTTTCAGAGCCTGAAGAGGGGAGGACAAGGGAACTGTAGCCTCACAAAAATAAAAAAAAACTTACCCAGGAGAGGGCAATGTAAAACTGACTTGGCAAAATATTAATTGCCATGATTATCTCACAAACTGTCTTGTTAGGATTACACTTGGTGTAATAACAAATTGTAAGACTTTTTCTGATTACAAATACTTGTTTACCCATGGTTACAAATAGACCAGATACACTACAAAAATGGAGATTTGATTGTGCCCTTAAACAATGTGAAGGAAATTCTAGGAAATTTGAGCAAAGGGTATGCCTATAGCTGGGTTGTCCAGAGCAAAACACTACCTGTGACTTAAACTGTTCGATTTTAAAAACTACCATCTCTCAACAATTTTTTCCTCATCAATCTCAATTTCACCCCAGTCAAGGTCCTGCTCCAGTTTCAGAAAATCAGGTGTAGGTGGAGTGTCAGCATCTGATGCAGATGCTTGTATCACACTGGCAACTTCTGTATCTGATTTCATTTCCTGATTGTTTTCTTTGGTGTCAGAAACTTTTTTGTCTGTCTTAAGTTTAGGCAAATTTGCCGTTTCTGCAAGCATTGTATCGTTATGAACAGAGTTTGCACTGTCATCTCTGTGTTCTTGCTGTGCTGAATGATCAATAGAAATATCTTGTTTTTTATGTGCTGGATTTTGTGGTGAGCATTCTTGTTTATCTTTATCACTGTCTGTTGTAACTATGTCATTAGCTCTTTCACCAGTTTCTACATCTTCTAGATTGACTTGTGCCCCTTCACTTTCCTCATGCAAGTTTTTGATTTGATCCTTGCATTCAACTGCTGCCTCCTTCTTATCTCCTGGAGATTCATGCAGAGCTGATATGACTGACAGGGATGAATCTTTGGTAGTTGTGGATTCAGGCTGCACTTGAGAATCTTCATTAACAGCAAAATCATCTTGTAAGCTTTCCTGAAGTTCTTGCTGAGAAGTTCCACTATGTGGTTTGTCACTTGTCACTTCTGCTGCAGATTGCTGATTTTTCTGACTATCTTCACTATTACCATGCTTATCACTACGTCTTTGTTCCTTTCGTTCTTTTTGAGGTTTGGGTTTATCAATTCTTTGTGAATTGTCAGTTGATGTTTCCATAACAGCATCTAAACTCTCTTCTTCTTTCTTTTGATGCAGAGGTACAGTTGGTTCTTCATCCCAATTCTCTTCCCCAGTGCCCTCACCATTAGCTGTGCCATCCTGGTTGTGTCTTGCTCTAGTTTCTGTTTCAGTTTTTGATGTGGTACTCTTTTTTTCCAAAACTTCACTTTGACTGCTACCTCGTTGCATTTCAGAAGCTCGGGTTTCATGGTTGTCATACTGTCTAAATCCTCCTCCTTTATAATGACCTCTGTTTTCTCTGTGGTAATTGTTCCCCCTACTATCAATGCCCCAGTCTTCTGCACGACCATGACCATCATGATGTCTCATATTCCTCCCATTGTCCCCAGATTCTTCAAATACCCACATCTTCCGTCTTGCATCCCAGACCTTTTTCTGATCCCATGTACGGCTCCAGTTTCCAGCCTTCTTCTGACGAGCTTTCCTTTCTTCATCAATCTTCTTTCTCTCATCCTTCCACTCACGATACTGTTGCCGCTCTTTCCCTGACATAGTCATTTCCATATTATCTCTATTTCTGCCTGGTCGAAACCCTTCCTTCTCCCTTTGCATTCGACTGGCAGCTTTGTTGAAATTAGCTCCACCCCAAGAGTGCTCATTCCGCCCTGTCATTTTGGACATATCCACTCGCTTGTCATCCATCAGAAACCTGCTCGCAGAGTTGGGATTCCTACTTCCTTGTTTCCTCTCCTCCTCTTCCTTTACAACATTTTCTTTCCGTTTGGCCTCCCACTGCTTGGCTTTCAGTGTTTCTTTCCGCATTTCCTGCAACATTAGCCCTCTGCCTCTACCTCTCCCTCTTCCAGCCACCCCTCCTGGCTGTGATGAATCCTTGTTCACTCCTGATGTACCACTCCCATGTTGCTTCTTTATTTCTACTAACTTGCTGTACACATCGGCATTTTTACGGTCTTCTTCAATCTCCTTTTGTCTTCTCATGAGATCTTCATTTTTCTTTCGGATTATTCTCATCTTGGCTTCCACTAACTCTTCTTTACTAGCCTTTTCTTCTGCCTTCTGGGCATCTGATTCAGCATTATTAGGATCAGTTTTTGAAGTCATTGTGAAAAAATTATCTTCATCAACCACCTAAAATAGATTTAAGTCAAACTCTAGTAATCATTTCCCTTCCAGGAGTGATCATGCATTAAATTATCACAACAAGATCAATACACTATCAAGGAAACATATAAAGAAGATACTAGGAATAGGGGATAATGTTTCGATTTTGCACCATGTTTGAGCAATTCAGTCAAGCACACAAAAAGGTTTTTAGTACTGAAATTCAAGGATGGCCTTAGACTATTGGTAAAATTAATTGCTGACGTTACAAAACTGAGCTTTGCCAATGAGTGGCATCAGCAGCCACAAAGACAAAATTGGCTTTCCAAATGAACTACAGATCGTTTTGCAGGACACAGTAACAAGCAAGGCGGCATTTTTTCTGCAAATGACGCACGTAGATATGAAGCACGATTCCAGTCTAATCCTCTGAGATCCATGAGACTTGTTTACTTTTTCAGCCCTTAAAAAAGAAAGTTCTTCATATGCAGAAACTTACTACAGATCTGAGCCCAGTTGATAAAGGAGCCATCCAGCGGATAACGCTATTTAACGAATAAATCGCTATCCATCGGATAAACGTTAATAAAAGGTGTTGTGCTATCCAATGGATAGAAAATTATCTACTAGTCGATTACTCAAACAAATTCGAACAACTGGGGGCAAATCGATCAGCTGATGTTGGACACTCACGATACTAGGAAAACGATACCTTGTTGCTTACTTTCTCTATTTCTTAACACGGGTCAAGGAAATCAATCAGATTTCGCTTTTCTCGGTTTCTGAATTTCTGATTTGATCGAGAGCATCATTAATTCGATTATGACCAGTCTTTGTCTGGTCTTGCTCGCCAAAATTACAAGCTTGAGAACAACATGGAAACTGTTTCTAAAACCTTACCGATCGGCGAATCGCTTACAAAATCTTTGAAAATAAAGAGTTAGCATGTGACAAGAGAAAAATTAAAAGCCAAACTTACTTTTTCTTTCCAGAATCACCAACGAAAAATCATTGTTCGCATTGATAAGAAAAAAACAAACGCCATTTTGACCGTGCGCCTGCATTGTTTCAGCGGAAATTTAGCGCATGCGTTTCACACGATTGAAACGCGGGAATCGAGATGGTCCTGGGAGCGCGAATCGTGGCGCGAATATTTTGCTGATTTTCACGTAGATTTCGTCCAGAAAACAGCTGATTCTTCCATTTAATAGATATGTATGTCACGACAGAGTAAAACACCATTCATGTTGTCTTGGTAATGGCGCGATCGAAGCGTAAGTCTTCAAAGCAAGTTGGCGAGGAACCTTCAGGTGCGCACAATCAAGTTGCACTCTGTTTTTCTCATTTTGGGCATTGTATCGATTGTCTCTTTTTGAGTTTGAATTGTTTGAGTTATAGATTAAGGCGAGGAATGTATACTTCCGAACACAAAAGGAAGGCGAAGGGGCAGGTGGAATTCCCAGCGGGCGGAATGCTAGTATTTTTCGCTTCCGGCTGGGGTGCGGTTGGAATCACCCACTTTGCTTCTCTCAGGCTCTTCTTTACATTGCACGCATATATAACGAAGAAAGTACTCTTCTATAGTGTTGTCGGCCTATTTTAACGGGAATATCTTCTTTAATCTTTTTTTCCTCTCAAAGCACAGATCGAACGTACGTGTAGCTTGTAGGGAGATGGCACCTTTTGCATCTTGGGATTTCAAGGGATTGATGTAAGGGGGTTTTGAATTTCAGAGCGAAGGGAGTTCTCTGTGAAGTACCCTAGGGGTTGATGATGGAGGGACAGAATTAATCCTCCAGGAGCATCCCTCATCCTGACTTTAAGAAACACCCAAAGGGAAAACAGAAAGTAGTTGGTGCATCATGAGGGATGGGAATGCAAAAAAAAAAAATGTCATGGTATTACATTTCCCAATAAATTGTAAACCATGTGGACATGTGTGGTTGATGATAACATGAAGACGTTGAATTTCTGTTTATTAGAAGTCCAGTGCTTCATGTTTGCATCAGCCATGACAACAATCATACTTGCAGAAACTGTAAATGCTCTTAATTTGTCTTATGAGAACAATATCTGTTTATCGACTTAAGTAAACAGAAGTCAAAGTAACACCATTCACCCTTTCACAGCTATGAGTGATCAAGAGAGAATTTCTCCTTACAATATTAATACAAAATCAAGCAAGCAAATGATGAGAATAAAGAAAAATGTCAATAGGGGATTATTAATTGATCCGATACCAAAATTTCCAAAATCACATAAAAGACAGTAGGGAAAATTGCCAGTTAGATCTGGAAGTGGAAGAGTGAAATGGAAACTTTACCCCAGTAGATAAAGGGCTTTAAAGTTTATTAGAGCCAGGGAGGCTTTTTATCTGGTGACTGAGGCAAAACTAATATCTTGAATGTACTATACCTTGAAACAATTCTTCAGGGTCTTCAGTATTGATAAAATAAGTCTTCTTAAAGAAAGGCTGCATGTGTAATTAAAAAATATGTCATGGTATTGCTCTTTCTAATAAATTGTAAACCACTTGAACATGTGTGGTTGATGATAACATAAACACATTAAATTTCTATTTATTGGAAGTTTAATGCTTTATGTTGGCATTAGCCATGACAGCAATTACACCTGTGGAAACTGTAAGTGCACTTAATTTGTCTTAAAAGGACAATATTTGTTTATTTTCTTAAAAGTAACACTAATAACCCTTTACTCCAATGAATGATTAAGACAGAATTTCTCCTTACAATATCAATGCAACATCAAGCAGACAAGTAATGAGAATAAAGAAAAATATCAATTAAGGGATGATTAGTTGATCCATTACCAAATTCTCCAAACTGACATAAGATGAATTGTGTGCAAGACAGTAAGGAGAATTACAGATTAAATCTGGGAGTGAGAGGGTGAAATGGAAAGTTTTCCCTAGTTGATAAGGTGCTAGAAAGTTTATTGGAGCCTAGAAGGTTGTTTCCTGTTGACTGAGGCAAAACTTACATCATGAATGTTCTATACCTTGAAAAAATTCTTCAGGGTCTTCAGTGTTATAAAATTACTTTTCTAACATGAAGATTGCATGTGTAATAAAGAAAATATCATAGTATTGCACTTTCCAATAAATTTTCATGAACATGTGTGGTTGATAATAACATGAAGATATGAAATTCCTATTTATTAGAAGTCTCATGCTTCATGTTTGTATCAGCTGCACCAATAATCATACCTGTGGAAATTGTATCTACACTTGATAATTCTTATGAGAAGAGCTTGTTCAGTCAGTGACCATTTCCTTTATCCTCATGACTTTAACCCTTTTCACCCTAACATCAGTATGTATATTCTCCATACTGTTCCCTATACATTCCCTAAGGTGCTGATGAGGAGAATTTGTTTCATAATCTAGAGCTTCTAGTCGGTGGTCATTTTCTTTATTCTCATGACCTTAATGTGTGATTAGGGGGTGATATTGTAAGGAGAAATTAGATGCTAGTCATTCTAAAGTGTTTAAAGGGTTAAAAGATCCATACAATTATGGGGAGATTCCCAGGGTATAATCTAACTCAAAGAGCTCACATCTTTTTTTTTTTTTTTTTTTTTTTTTTTTTCAATTATATCATTGGAACCGAATTTTTCTTGAGTAAAAATTAAGTCCTTGTTCTTTACTGTTTTTCTGTCTCTTATTTTTTTTTGTCACCAGCTAAACGATCCAGACATGTTGCTGACACTCCCAGAACAAACAAGAAGGCTGAGGTGGAGGAAACACTTTTTGATACAGTAGTGCAAAAAGCTGGTCTTCAAGTGAACTCGGGCCTGGTGCAAGATGTTTTAGGTATAAGAATCTATGTATTAACTCTTAAACTCTCAAGTCTGATTGTTAATTCTCCCATCTATTAAGAAGTGGTGACAAAACGTCATTACTCGCCAGTTTGACTTATGCTTTTATTGTCTTCCAGAGGTTGATCGTGCTATCTTCCAGAAAAAAGTCAGAAATGCACTTAAAACTCATGAAAATTATCCAGAGGTAATTTATTTTTGAAATAGAAAATAACCTTCCCTATTCTACATAATGCTTTATTGTGTTGCTTCAATTTGCTCTTTTGATCTTGCACCTTCAGGTCATAGATGACTTCCTTGAAGGATTGCAGAATAGGTTGGATGATGCTGACAGGTAAAGACTGTACCTAAATTGTACTAGATCGTCAAGGAGATGAGATTTTATATTAATTAATTCAATTGTTCACAGAATTCTTAATTGCCCCCTCTTTGTTTGTTTATTTTTTTTTTTTAACAGATTTCGCCTCAGTTTGCTTCCAGTTTCTTTGGCAGAGGATGTTGAAGGGTTGGTATGATATGCTTAAAAATTGCTTATTGAAACCAGGAAATTCTTATATGCCACAATATGGAGTACAGCTCAAAAGTAAGTTGACTCAAAACTCAATCCTCAATCCTCAATCCTCGAAGCTTTTGCTGATCAAGTTTTAAGGGACTGTCAACTTAATATTAAGTGGTACTGTATACCATGAGCTGTTATCTAAATAATGAAACATCAATGATATACATGAAAAAGTTATGTGCTTGTGACTGGCTAAAAGAGAGTGCATTTTTCATGTAACACAAGTGCAAAGTGGTAACACAAATACAAAGTTGTAATCTGAGTGCAAATTACAAATAGTGTGCACCTGCTGCCATTTAAATTTCATCTGTAGTGACTTTTTGTGATGCGTTTTTCATGTAAATTATTAACAAGTAACAACATGATACCTCGTGTAGTTTGGTGTTAAAAAGCTCTAACTTCTAAATTTTTCAAAGACTACAAATTGCTCTCTTCCTATGGGCTTGCACAATTTTGTTGTCTTTGAAAAATTTACTTGAGCTTATTAACACCAAATTACACTCAAAATCATTTAAATACCTCTACTAGAATGCTGAAAAAAGGTCCAAAAAAACAATTTTTCTCTTTTTTCAGGCATGTTGGGGGCCAGGAGAGTTTGATTAGAATGCTCTTGGGTATCGACGTACTTCAGGTAATCCTCAGTGCAGGTAGAACTTATTCAAATAATGGTATGAATTATTACAATTTTTATTCTCTGACTGCTCTGAATTTATCTATAAATATGTAAGCCAAATTTAGAGAAAGAACTAGTGATTAACAATCATTAAACTGTTTTATTTTCATCTCTTTCTGTGTGTAGCCAAAGATTGCCAATTTGCTTCTGGAAAAGCTTCCAGAGTTTACAGAAGATGATTGCAAGTATGTAATACCATTTTCTCAGTGCTACACACAACTTTTGTGTATCAAATGTTGTTTTATTCCATATGATTAACCCTTTACACCCCAATATCAGCATGAATTTTCTCCTAAACTGTTCTTCATACATTTCCTATGACAGTGAAAAGGAGAATTGTACTAAAGATCGAGGGCCTTTAAAGTTTGTGATCATTTCTTTAATTCTCATCAGTGAGCCTTATGTTCAGTACAATGGTGATACCTCAGTGAGAAATTAGATTACAGTTACCCTCAGGTTAAAAGTTTCAGGAGTTAACCCTTTAACTCCCAGAAGTGATTAACATAAAACTTCCCCCTATGATATCCCTACATTATTCAGTAAACAGGTAATGAGAATATTCAAACTTATCAGGTAGAAGCTGCCATCTTGATCTAGCAACAAGTTCTCATAACAAATTTACAAGGAAATGAGTTACAGCTAGAAGGGAGAATTAACAATCAGATCTTGGGAGTTAAAGAGTTAAGATCACTGCACCTATTTTTCAAGAACTCCCTTAATCATATGTTGGTTTTCATACAGCAATGGCACAGATGATTTCAACATCCCTCGTTTGGTACTAAACCAGTTCAGATGGCTTGACTGTGTCATCCAGAGTAAGGTGAGAGTACAAAACTGTTAATTCTAGGGAACTGATCTCCTTACTTTTTATCAGTAAACAAAAAAGTTATGAGGTTTTTGAGTACAGTGGCCCACTCTGTTAGAGTTTATCTTGGTTTTCTCAACATAAAGCCTCTAAGAGTGTTGCCGCTCTATCTAGAAGGAATGCCTGAATTAAAGGCAACACCCTCACTAATCAGCCCCACCCCTGATCCCCCCCTTTTTCTGTTTGTTCATCAGGTGTCCCTTGAACCTCTGACTATACTGTGATCTAAAAATAATTCACTCTTGAGTCTGGTGTGCTTGCAAAATTAATATGTTAATATGCCTGTTACAGACATCCACATAAGTTTGAGGTATAATTTAATTGTTCCATGTATTTTGTTGGAAATTTAGGAGTTGACTGAGAAGATGCTGGAGATTGTAGGAATAACATCAGTGGAAATTCAGCGTGAAATTATAACATGTATTCCTGAAGTACTGGATGATGCAGAATTTCTCCTTCATAGTGATTTAAGGCAACTTTAACCCTTTAACTCCTGAGAGTACACAGACAAGTGATGAGAAGAAAGAAAAATATCAATTAGGGGATTATTAGCTGACTGAAGTAGCAAGGGAACTTAGGTGATGATTTTTTTTCATTTTCTTTTTTGTGGTAGAGAGGGGGGGGGGGGGGGGGCATAAATTTCAGGTGATTGGAAGCAAGAGCAAGGTGGGCATAGGGCTGCACCTCTCATTTGCATGGACCTCACACTTGTGCTGTACTTGCTCTCCTTGCCTGAAAATCAAAAAAAAAATGGATAAATAAGAAATTAACACCTGTTTTGCAGACTGAATAAGCCTCCACCTAGAAGCCTTGCAAAGAGATTAACACTCCACGCTCATAAATTATTTAGAAAAAAACAGAACTTATTCAGCATTAAATTCTCAACAATAAACTTTACTTACCAAAATCAGAGTTTATGACAAAACTGGTTTGGAAATTTTATCTCAGTAAACTGTGTTTAATGTATCAGGTTTGATTTATGTTTTGTTTATTTGTCATTGACTGTGCACCAGCTGTTTTGTAATGTTTGATTTTTTACATAAATGTAAACTGTATGGTATTTATTTTGTTTAGCGAACTTCTACGTCAGAACACAGGACTTACAGTTCCAATCCTTGATGCTTTGTCTAACCTCAACCTGCGCTCTGATCTCCTGGCTGAGGTATCTATTTACATCTGTATTTCTGGAGAAAATTGCACAGTGTACATGTATTTCACTGTTAAAGCACTATGTGAATAAATGACTAAGGAAGGTGGTGAACTTTGAGCTTGGTCATAAAATATGCAACAGTCTTCTACTGTTATTCACATAATTATTGATTATTTTTGATTGTAATATAATCTTGATGTTTCAGGTGCGTGCATCAGTGATACAGATGTTACCCTCTGCAGAAATCAGTGACTTGCCAGTTGTGGTCAAATTTATACTTCAGTCTGTTGGTGACAATGATGCGTTTGAGGTATGGTATACTAACAGTTGTGCAGTAAATTTACTGGGAAAATTTTGCAGTGTGACTGAAAATTTTGCAGTTTTTGTACTTTTATGCTTTGCTTAAAGGAATCCTCACAGGGAAAAAAGAGGCATTAAAAAAAATACTGTAAAAAATGTTGCTACCTTTAGTTCTTTCTCAGATTCTAGTTTTGCTTGATTCCTTTTCTTTTTTTTTTTTTTTTTTCATCTTTTTCCACTTTGGATGATTTACATTGATTGTCCCCACAATGCCTTTGTCTTGTACACACAGGTGATTAGTGAATTACGTGCAAGCCTGGATTTCACATCTACTTCTCTGCAACCTGCAGCCTGCTCCACTCCTGCTGAGCAACGACTATCTTCAAGTGGAGGGTGGGTACAATTTGTATTTTGTCAATGAATACCACATCTGTAAACAGTATGGATGAATGATTTTATTTTTTATGATGCTCACTTGTGAGATATTGAGTTTAACACTCAAAGAGAAATAAATTCCATATCTATGTGCTCCTATGTTTTATTTCTACACTATATATAACAATGATATCTGTCAATTAGGTCAGCAAGTGATGGGGAGCTTTTTACACTTGAAGCAATTCGATCAGGAATTCGCTTCCAGAGATCAGTTGCAGAGGGTTGGATTAAGGCAAGTGTATTTTACTATTTACCGCTGATGACTAAATTTGATTTATCTTTATGTGGCACGATGAGAAACTTAGTTTTGTAATTTTGTAGCAATGAAATAAGTAATTACATTATTTTCCTCTTGTTTTGAATTGCAGGCCATTGAATCTGTTAACTCTCCTGTGAAACACAAGGTTAGTAATGTAGAAAACCAAATTGCACTCTACATACAGCTAGGTACCCATTGATGCTTAAACTAAAAAAAAAAGGGATGGGGGTAGAAATTGTGGCCCATTATACATTGTGTATTTCTAATTACAGGAAAAACTTGTTGAGATGAACAGAAAATCTGTCTCTTTTGCACATTTAAAGCAAGTGTCTACACCAACTTCATAGATAAGTTTGTAGTTCCCACATTTCTTCACTCAACAAGATTTGCTCGTAAAGGAAGCAAACATCAGAAATAAAATTGATAAGAAAGAGGAAGGGGAGGAAGGGGGAAAAAAAAGCCCTTCTGGAAATTTAGACATTTGCGTAGTGTTTTTACTCTACTCAGTTTAACCATGATTCCACTACGCTTAATCATTACATCGATCAGCAGTTTTGTATCTTTCAAACACTTCCCCAGCAGTCACTGGTGCAGCTGTGTATTTAAAAGTTTTAGTCACTCTTTCTTTACAGGTTGTGGACTTGTTTGTGTTGCTTATTCTCCACTCTACTGCAAATCGAAAGAAGGCCATGGAAAGCTTGATAAGGAATAAAATAAAGAATGGTCATTTTACGGAAGAAATGTTGAGTGCAGCGTTTAGTTCACACTCACAGGTGAGGATGTGCAACTGTTGTTTGTACCAAGAGTGAGCTAAGTGCAGTTATTTGCACATGTTTTATATAGGGGATCATGCATGTTAGAGTCCTTTTTTTTTATCTGAGACAAAGAGTACAATCTGAGAGGAGGATTGGTACCTATACCCTCTTAGATAGCTGCTCACCCATTGGGCAACTTGCAATGAAAACAGAAGTTTCCCTAAACCCAGGCTTTGTATGAGCACTTTTGTTGCACCCTGATTCAGATATATTAGTATTAATAACTCTCTTTTCTGACTGCTTTTTGTTTTTCAGATTCTGAGGGAATATTTCCCTGACTTGTTGTCCTTGGCAGAAATTCTACTGAGGTCTCCCGATCCATCTGTCTGTTCTTATGCCTGTTCTATGTACAAATTATCATTTGTTTCATTCGACCTTTACTGTCAGCAGGTACTGAATGAAATTCTTTTTGCAATTTGCCCACACTCCCACCCAAAAATTGCATGGGTTGTATCTTGAACAATTCCTAAGCCAAGCTATCCCAGCTTGGCTTAGCCTGCTGATCAATCATTTTTCCCATACCCTATTACAACTGAGCATTAATAGCGGAACTCGCAGAGCGTAGCCCCATAATTATGCAAAATAGTAGTAACCCATCAAGCCAAAAAAATTTGGTTGTACAACCGTATGACTGTACGACTGTATGACCGTACGACTGTACAAGGTGCTACTTTTAACATGCATGGTCAACTGTATTGTGGGCACGCCAACGCCACGGCTTTGTCCAGTGGTCAGTGCACTGGGCTCCGAGTCGGATGACCTGGGTTCTAGTCCTGGCCAGGGCAATGCGTTGTGCCCTTGAGACATGCACGAAAAAAAAAATGCGAGTTCCGCTTTTAGGCTTGGCTAAATCTATATATTATGAATGTTGGTGAATAGAATACTTCTGCTACTGACAGTATAGTTCCCATTCTGTTTCCTCTTGTAGGAAGTGGTAGGGACATTAGTGACCCACATAGGCAGTGGATTTGCAGCAGAAGCAGATGCATCATTAGATGTTCTTTCAGATCTTGTTGAATCCCATGCAGATATTATGGCCCCATTTGCTATATTTATTAAAGTAAGTGCAATAGGCTTTTAGGACTTTTACTTGTAATCAGTTTTGAGGTGATTGATACAACACTGAACCATTTTTTTTTTTTTACTTCAATGAACTTGGGAGAGCAGTGAGCTCATTCCTCCAAATCTGTAGGAAATATATGCGCAGATGACATACACTTTTTCTTAGCAACATGTTGACTAAATTGAAAAAATTAACAGAAAACTGGAAATTGTTTGCATGAAAACAAGGGTTTGACTTTGGAAAGAAGAAAAGGTTTTATGCCTTCTTTGGTAATTAAATACTGTTGGAACTATGCAACCTGTATTATTGTTAGATTGTTCAGAGTGTGTTCATCGTGATAAGTTCATGTGCATGTGCATATGTTGGTGGCTTTTGTTTCCTTTGGGGTTGTTAGTTTTGCGGTTTCAACTTGTAAGTGCTCCCTGTATGTTTGAGTGATTAAAACCAGTTTTCAACCCTAAAAGATTTTGCTACACTAGTGAATCTTATAACAATATTTACATAATTATGTTTTATTTAAGGGTCTGTTGGATTACTTGGACAATCTCACTGTATTACAGATTAGAAAGCTATTCAGTATGCTAAGTACCCTGGCTTTTGCCAACCAACAAGATGGAGGACTTATTCAGGTACTGACTACACAAGTAATCTTTATCTAAAGAAGAAAGTTATTTGACTATTCGATGTGATACTAAATTCTGCAAACTAATTAACTCTGATCTGTTTTGTACCTTATATTTGACTGATTAGTTTGTGCACATACTTTCTCAGAGTGTAGAATTATTAATATCTACTGATATTTTTTCAAGGATGACATGCATATTGTGATCAGGAAACAGCTGTCAAGTAATTCTGCCAAGTAAGATAGAATGTCTTAATTTTTGTGATTTGTACACTTTGTTTAAAGAATAACCCAGTAAACTTTGCTGATCCAATAACCTTTGCAAATTAACCTTCACACCTTTCTCATGGACGAAGAGCAAAAGTTACTGGTGTTCAGTATGACTGAAATGTCACTTCCACCATTGATAACTAACTTGGACAACAGTTACACTCCTTTTCACAAAATTGTTCTGCATTTTCTTTCAGATACAAGAGAATTGGTATCATTGGAGCCATAATGGTTGTACGCAGCATGGCAAAGAAGAGGTCTCCACTTAGTTTATTATGTTTTATCTCTTTGGTTTCATTTATTGTGTTGCATATGGAGGTCACTTTTTCTGCATATGCTATCTTGGAAAGCCAAGCTGGACCCAGGACCCAGTGGAGTCTGACTCTGTCTCAAATTAATTGCAATGAGTGATCATTAAAAGTGGGAGTTTAATTTTTTAATCACAATTATGATATAAACTTACCATTATGAATCAGATAACACAAAGTCCTGTTACTGTACTAATCGCAACTATACTAAAATTTTGGGATGTGATTGGTTATCACCAGCCTGATTTGAGCACTTATGGGACAGTGTATGCATCAAGCTTGTAATTGGACAGTGTAATAGGACAGTAGTAGTACTACTGTAGTACCTATAGTATGCATCATGTGAACTGGCTGTTGTCAGGCATGTTGCAGAGTTAACTGATGTTTTTTCATGAAAATGTAAGACTGATGTCTCAAATTTTTCTCAAATTTTGTCAAAGCTTTGATTTATTGGTAGCATTTTTTGGCTTTGATGATTGGGAAAGTTACACTTGTCAGTGAAAATCTCGTTGAGAGTTGATGAAAAAGAATGCTGTGAATGTGATCTTTTGTCTTTTGTTTATAAAACAGATCTGAAGATGAGGGTTCAGAAGAAACAATGGACACTCAGTCACAACCAAAAACCACTCTCTCTAATGAAGTTTACAAACAGGTAAGTTTAACCAGAGAGGTGAAGGATGGGATGGTGTTCATGAGACTTATCTGAGATGGAGAATGATTTTTTTTTTTTTAACATTTTTTTTAACATTTTTTTTTATTTTCACTTAAAGCACAAATACTAGAGTAATACAAACAAATACAAAGTTAATTACACTAACGCTTACGCTACTCACTAACACTAATTACGAAATACTACATTACATTACATTCACAGTCGGCTAGATTTAATTTATGTTGTGGTTATATAATAATATAAGCCTAATTTGTACAAATACTAATCTACATCAAATTCCTTTTTTGGTAGAACGACTGTATATACAACTGCGTCTAAAACTGTTAATACCCGATACTCATCTATTGAATTACACTAACATGTTTTCCCATTTTTTATAATGAATAGATTCTTTTTTATTCTTTTTTGCAATCAAAAATTCAAATTTCCGAGTTTCAGATGTTTTAGCCTTCAGTAAGGATACAGACGGCTTGATATTTTTACAACGACATGAATAAATGGTATATTTTCCAAGAATGATTATGTGATTTAACAAACAATTCCCAGGGATATTATCGGAAATACCAAAGAGGATGATGGTTTGAACACCTGATTGTAATTCCTTACTAGAGTCCTGTGACTCTGTTGATGACCTCTACTTGTGTGGTTGTAATTTCAGTCACTTCCTCTCAGAGGTTTCAACAACTTTTTCTATTCGTGGTTGCTAATGATAGGACAAAACCCAAACACTGAAGCCTGCTTACAGCCTAAACAGATAGTGGTGACAGGTCATTCCCAAACACTGGTTCTTCTTAGAAACTGACCCATGCTTCATGTGACTTGTCGCCAATTCAGCTTTAAACAGGACAGCAAGTTCTTTTGAGTGATGTAAAACTTTTGCTGTGATAATTTCTCTGCAGATTTGTAGCATGCTAGAAATGATACGTAACAGCACCAATCAGAATCCAGAAGCAGCAGCATTGTTTTATGACGAGCTGGCAAGAATTATTCAAGTTGGAGGCATTGATCCAAAAATTGAGGTGTTGTTACTTGTCAGGGATTGTTAAAAGAGTGAACAAGAATTTTGTATAATGCTACAGTACATTAAGCAATAACAAGAAAAAAAGAATTATTGCAGCTAATAGTAGTTTGTTCAAAAATAAAATGGGCTATTTTCATAATGCCCAAAGTCTCTGTTTTAAAAATTAATCTAAGAGATACACCTTTTATATTCAAACATTAGCTTAAGTATTGCAAATAAAACTAATTTTTCAAAACAAAGGTTTTGCTCTTTTTCTGATACAAGATATTAGGGTTTTTGGAACTCAATTTTGTTCAATTTATGTAAAAGTGTAGTTATTTCATTGCAGGCCTGGATAAGTGAAACAGTTGTGGCTGATTTTCAAGATGACTTCCTTGTGGATAGAGAACCACCCACAGAAAGGTAACACACTATTTGTTTCTGCATCAATCTATGGAAAATACTAAAAAAATAAATAAATAAAGATAATTTGGTTTATTATCAGTTGATAATGTTAATTGGCCATGGTAGATATGCATTATTAACCAAAGGTGAGGTCAAGATGCCTGAATATTGGCCAAATTCTTTTTTGTGACTTTTTATGGACTGAGACGAAGTTGAGGTTTTTAAAAAACACACAAAAAAGAATGAGGCTGATATCCAGCAATCATGACCAAACAAGCTTGGTCAATAAAAGATAAATTTTATAGCAAAAAGATTTCTCTTTATCAAGAATCAAGAATGACTTGTTTAATTGGAGAGCCATGAAAGAAGGCAATTGTGTTTGTAACACTATAAAACCAGGAGAGTTGTTTATGTTTTTGTTTTGATTGCCTTCTACTGCTTTTTGCAACTCCATTGCCAACATTGTCCAAAAGTTACATCATTGTGAGTCTGCTCCGTGCAACATTTTTCATGCACGGGAACAAAGTGGGCAATCTCAAGCAAGCAAAATGAGGTAGCCAATCAGAACACAGGATTTCCTTCATATTCCCCATGAGCACTGCCAGTGATGTGTTAAAAAGGGTTTCTAAAGCTGACATTTTTAGTGTTTGCATTGCATTAGAGCATCCCTTTGATGAAGGGGTGATACTCAAAATGCTTTTTAAACTTTTCACAGGGGTCGTGTATTTGTCAACTCAGTTGATAAACCTTATTATCTTGTAATCCCCCCTCCACCCCCCCCCCCAATGGTGCACCACCTCAGCTTCTTTAGAAACTGACCCCCCCCTCCCCCCCTTTTAGATAAATGAAGCTATAACTATTAACATAGATTTTTTTTTCATGTGTGTTTTTATAGTCTTGGTGTTCCCATGGAATTATCATATGCCTTGGATGAGGCAGAGGAAGGCAGCATTGCTGTCAATATGCTGCCATTACTTTTAGCTTCCAGAAATGGTGCAAAAAGCAAGGACAAAATTGACAGGTGAGGGAAAGAAAGAAAGAAAATATACGATTACAATTGAAAGGATTGGTTAGGTCATTAAGTTTTTGGTAAGGTGCTTTCCCCAATTTGATTAGCCCCTATCTTGGGGCAGCCATTTCCTCAGGACTACTTGTAAAACATCACAGAGAAGGTGAGAGAAAAGAAACTTACATGTATGCTAAAATCTAGAGAAAGATGTTTTTGTCTGTCACAAGTGTGGGAAAAAATTCTGAGTCTGAGTCCCTATGAGGAATCAAACCTCATACCTTTGGATTGTGTGTTCTGATGCTCTACCACTGAACCACAGAGACACTGTGGTGAGCAAGGTCTATTACAAAGTTCATATGACACATGTCCTGCAAACTGCTGGAATCAGCAATGTCCATAGCATCATGTTTGTAAATTGAATAAGAGAGATGGTAAGTTTTGAGCTCGGTAAAGAAATAAAGATGTTTTTCATCTATTATGAGCATAGGATAAAGAAAAATTCTGAGTCTTCAAATTATTTTTTCTTTGTTCCACACACTCGTGACAAACAAAAGACATCTTTCCCCATTTCTTTAAACTGAGCTCAAAACTTACCATCTCTCAGATTCTATTTATGCCAAAATTTGTTATTAACTTTGTTAACTGAGGTACCAAGACCTTCAACTAATAACAACTTGGATATTTGCACTTTTGATGTTGAGGTTGAACATTTTCTCTTTTAAATAGTGGACCAGCCTCACTCATATGCCTTGCACCTCATTTCCGCCTTTTGCGGGTCTGTGAAGAAAGTCAACACAAGGGAGATCTTGAAGGAATTGATGCTCTCTTAGGTAAACTACAATATGTGTGATTTTGGAATGCAACAAATTGTGCAATTCAGAACCAAATACATTTTTTTTCATTTGATCTTCACAGCTATGGGAGAATCTTAAAACAATCCTTAATAATTCATTATTTCTTTAATTTTGCTTAAGACTCAGGGAAAAATCCTCAGAAAGTTGTTCCAAGAATCTTGTTTGAAATGGTTTTTCCAGTAGAGTTCAAAGATCTGATGCAATTACCTTCTTAGAACAAAAATTCAGTCAAAACCAATGTCAGCCAAAGTTGTTATGACTGACAGTAGTTTAAATGTGTAGCTGCATTCTTTAATCAGGGGATGGCTAAAATTGAATTGGCAAATGTTTTAGAACATGTATGCTTGATCTCTTTTTTTTAGGGTGTCCACTTGTTAGTTTTAAAGAAGAGATGATCAAAGAAATAACCTCTCTGGACCAAGCAGATCGAGAAGTCATTTGTGGAACTTTGTTCCACACTGTGAACTGGTTCAGAGAGGTACGCATGTTTTTGATAAAAGAATGACCCTTTTACTACAGAAAATGTGTTTAACCCTCCAACTTCCCAAAGTGATTAACATGTAACTTCTCTCTAAAATATCCATACATTATCCACCAAACATGTAATGAGAATACTCAAACTTATCAGACAGGTACAGGTTGCTATCTTGATGTAACTCCAAATTCTCCTAACCAATTTGAAAGGGAATGTCAAACAGCTAGAAGGGAGAAGTAACAATCAGATCTTGGGAGTTGAGTTAAGCCTTTACCTCCCAGAGTGACTAGCATCTAATTTCTCCTTACAATATCACCCCTGAATCAAACATTAAGGTCATGAGAATAAAGGAAATGATCACCAACTAAAGAAGTTCTTGATTGTTGAACAAATTCTCCTTGTCAGCTCCTTGCAACATTTATAGAGAGCAGTATGGAGAATATGTATACTGATTTTATGGTGTAAAGGGTTAATACTGTTGTGTTGCTGCATTTGTCAGCTGGCTATCATATAAAGACCGACCAGTAGTACCTTGTATAGCTATGTAGTCCTTTACCACATAACATCAGTATCCAAATTCTCAACATTCTTCTTTATACATTTCCTTTGGTACTGACAAGGAGAATTTGTTTAACAATCAAAGCTTCCAAGGTGAGTAGTTGTTTAAAACAATTACAGTTTTTACTCAAGTAAGTGCTCTTCCCTGTGGGGTGCTTAATGTATGATTTTTGCACCTCAATATTGCTCCACTTAGTATGGTATCCTAAGGGCTGAGAACTTATTTGCTTCACCAGTAAGGTTAAAATAGTAATTTTCACAATCTTTCCCAAGGAAACTTGCTGCTTAACTTTAATAACAAAGGTTCTTTCTTCCTTTCATATCTGGTTGATGTGATTGACCAATAAGAGTCTTTTTTGAGTAGAGTACTGTATTAGCTGCATTTTTTAAAGCATGAGTTGTAGTCTTGTGTCATTGTAACAACCATTTGATTGGTAATGAACAATCACTGAAACCTTTCACATTGTAGGTTGTGAATGCATTTGCATCCCAAGAAAGCCCTGAATTGAGAGGAAAAAGCATTGCAAGGATTCAAGGCATAACAGCATTGTGTGCTGTTTTAGAAAAGTGTCTTGCAGGTTTGATTGAAATTTCTCTTGTCATTTGTTATGCTCAAAGGTTGAATAAGTTATTGATTTTATATCTGTTGAATTAATTTTTCAGCCACACCTTCCTTCAAGCCTCCACTGGCTACGTTTGACTTTGAAGACTCATTGGTGACAAGTCCTCATTCAAATGGGAACAAGTCCAAGGCTAAGAAAGGGAAGAAGACTAGTAAAAGGTAAGCAATACCATGTTATTAATTTTTCCTTTTTGTGTTACATCCAGACATTGAAGAGTTTTTATGAGAATCAGGATAATTCAGCATTAAAGTTTGGCTTGGATTCAGTTCAATTCAGTGGCTGGGTTGTACATGTATAATGTTGTTGCCTATCTTGAATTCCATAATATTTTCTTTAGGTCCTTAATGCTAGCAAAAATGAAACTTTCCTCTGCTGCTAGGCTAGACATCCACATTAATTCCCCACAGAAAATTTAGTTTTTCTTTTTAAATGCACATGAACTCACAGTTATTTCTCTGTCAGCAACTATGATAAGGAGTGAATGAATTGTTATTATAATGATTGTTATTTATACTTTCCGAGGGATTGACAGGATCAAAACATAAATGACATGCATGGCTAACTAGCACGTTTATTTGTTTTTCTCTTGTTTCCAGATCAAGCACTGAAAAACCAGATGATTCTATAGAAAAGGTAAAGAATTTCATATGGAATTAATGGTAGCAGCAATGCCCATGTATGCATTTAAATATTTCTCTTAACCCTTTAAATCCCATAAATGACCAAGACAGAATTTCTCCTTACAATATTAATACAATATCAACCAGATAAGTGATGAGAATGAAGAAAGATATCAATTTGGGAGTAATTGGTCAATCCAAAACTAAATTCTCAGAAGTAACATTATAAGAATCGTATGGTTTACAGTAAGGAGAATTACAAATTTGATCTGGGAGTTAAAGGGTTAAAGAAATTTTGAATTGAGTGTTGATTGTAATCTGAGATTGCTTTGGTTTTGCTTTACTTCACTCTGTGATTGGTCCATTCTGTCAACCAATCAGATGCAAAACTAAAACCAATCACAACTTGATCACCAGAATTTTTCCCATACTTTAGTTAGTTTAGATTCTCATTGGCTTGTTTAAGTATTTTGCTTTCTTGTGACTGGACATTGTGAGCATGTCGGTTTTGGTGTTTTGACACTCACTTGAAAAGCGCCCTTGTAAGCATTTTTATTGATTCCAAATCAAAGGAAACCTGTGGAAAATCTTCCAAAATACTCTGTCTTTCTGTGTTTATGTTCAACATACAACTGTTATAGGTCTTTTAGAGTTTTACATGATATTATGTTGGTTGACTTTGGTTGCAGATAAAAGATCTTGAAAAAGAAAATGTCGATGACAAAGAAAGTGAAACACAAAAAGAAAGCTCCAAAGATGCAAAAGAAAAGGACAAGGAGAAGGAAAAGCCAGCGACCATATCTATGTCACAGTATCAAGCATTTCTCAGGTAAAATCTGGTATTCTATACTTTAATCTATTGGCTGAATGCAGACTAAAGGCTTTAATTTTACCAACAGATCTCAGCTTGATAAAGAACCAACCCATTTTTTATGTTTTCATTTCTTAGTTCAATGAACGACTGAAACATTTTTTGGTTACAGTGCTTGGGCATATGAAAAGTGGCTATGTAAAACTGTGGCACAGCGTAATAAAACTATGTACAATTTGCAAGACGTAGCTTAGTAACTAAATAATTATACTTTTCATTACCAGTAGATTTTGTCCCTGGTTCTCATCTCTCCTTTAATTTTTTAAATTATTTTTCATAGAGAGTTAGATCTCAAGACATTTAGTATTTTGAAATGTGGACTGGTCTCCCGTGCAGTTTTGGATTCTGAAATGAATACAGAGGTTTGTAGATAGCTGTAAATTACAAGTCATATGAAGTTGAAAAGTCACTTTGGAGTCATGTTTGAAAACTGATCTTTATTGATTGATAACAGAGTTCTAGTTGGTCAAGGAAATCCAGAAAAACATGGAATTTAGCAAAATTATTTTCCAGACCCAGAAAACCATGCAGTTCAATTGTGCTTCATGGAAAGTCACAGAAATCTCTTCAATTGATTTTTTTCTGTGAGCAACAAAGCAAGAAATACTATGATGTAATGATTTATTTTTGGTCACTTGGTTTTGAAATGAACAGCTTGATGATGGATGATGGAAAATATCAAAAACTCTTGAAAAGGGCATGCTAAGTTGTGGAAGTTTATGAGTTTGTAAAGTAAAAACCTTAAACAAGTTTTCTTCCCTTGCACAAGGCCAAAATGATAGAAAAACAAAGAGTTAGTCTTTTGTCTATTGGCACAGAATCAACTATTGCTTAGGTACTTTTGTCACAATATTTTGAGCCACTTTCAATTGGTAAATGTTCTTTTAAATATGCATAATTCACCTGAATCAAAAACATGTTGTTTGTGCACAGGAGACTACTATAGTGCAACTTCAGGCTCCCCAGCTGGAGTTTCTGTTGGAGGACCTTTCCAGAAAACTTCAGTATTCACTTTCAGCTTCTGCTTCTTCAAGAAGGAGCTTTCTCAAGGTAAGAGATAAAAGAGTCTGCTTAGTAGTAATCATTTCTCTAATTGCTTGGTTCCAGTACTTCCAAGTCCCAAATAGAATGGTGTCTCTAATTCACCAAGAAAAACGTTGGGTGGACTAGTACTTCGGGTAAATTGGCAAATCTGGGACAGTTGTGAAATAGTGAAATAGCTGGTTGTCTGGGATTTTTGCAGCATATGAAAACCAGCCTTGAAAGAGAGCCTACCTTGACCATAATAAAAAAAGTTAACCCTCACTGTTACTCTCAATTTAAATGATAACCAGGCCTTAAGTCTTTGTAAATATGGTAAACTGTGCTCTTTAAAAACCTGTGTGGGATTCTTAAAAAGGGAAGAACTGTAAGCATTAATTTAACTTAATTGAGATCTGCTTTAAGCCATTCCTTAATCTGTGGTGAATGACATCTTGTTATATCTTAAAGGTTCGTCAGGATAAACTGGTGGGTTTCTCTAACTTGTCCAGATATCCTGCAAAAGAAGTGGCCAAATACGTTGTAGAGCTGCTGCCAGTCTTATGCGAGCATTTAGAAGCCACCAGTGGCTTCTTTCAGGTAATTGTTTTGACATTCTGACTAGCTGTCTTTGGCATGCTGGGGATGGATGTGGAACAAAGAAAACATTTATGTTCCCCACAAGGAATTGAACCTTGTAACTTGTCATCTTCAGAAAAAAAAATTGAAATCTAGAAGCTTGGAAATGTAATTTCCTGCATTCTGTTGTTTAGAAAAGTTTTTTTGATACCTCTGTCTAAATTTGCCTGTCACTCCTAGAAACAAAATGTCTAGTGCATGGTCCAAATGTTCATTAGATCCCTATTTTGTTGTTTAATTTTTTTGTTACTTTCAACTTACAGGCTTTAGTTGCCCAAAATGATGGCCTGATGGATGGTCCAGGTCACAACACTGCTGAGGCACAAGTGATGGCTTCATGTTATCACTTGCTTTTCAACTGTCTGCAGACTCTCTTTGCATGGTTTGTATCACAAAAAAAATGAGATTGTCTTGCTAACTCTAGAGAACTTAAATGTTATAATTAATGGATTATGTGTCCGCAAATGTTGGGAACTTCAATGTTGACATGTCTATAAAGTCTATTTATTTAATACTAATGCAATGTCTGCCTGGGAATAAACAAGTCCTAGGGCTTTAATATCATTGTGAACAGCTGTAGAACTAGAGTAACAACTAAAAAAATAATTTTGAAAGTTTTTTAACATACTTCTCAGGAGCGGTTTTGTGACAAGTGAACAACAAAACCTTTTCAAAAAAGCTCTTTTTGTGCTGTCCTCAAGAACTACACTCTCCAGCAAGACACAGCCAGGATTTCATGCACTTCTTGAGTAAGCTCCTTTGTAAATACATGTTTTGGTTTTCAGTTGAAAAGTTTGTTGGTTCTTGTTTCTGTTTGCGTCATATTACTTCATTTGTACTTGCAGACAAAGCTTCCACTATCTTGAGCAGTTCCAAAGCAGTATTCCAAACATTGCAACAGCTGTTAGCCTTACTAAGCTGTTAGTAGTTTTGTGTGAGAAGGGAAGAGATGGTGACAATGGCATGAGCATTTCTCTAGGTAATGAAACTTTTATTTTGAGACATTTGAATGGCAGAGAAGTGTACATTGTATACAAATTCAATTTTTTGGAGGTTTTTTAGCAAACTTATTGTCATTTGTTAAACAATCAAGTGTTTTTTAAGGTGGTGATCATTCTCTTTCTTCTTGTGACCTTAATGTTTAATTCAGGGGTGATATTGTAAGGAGAAATTAGATGCTGGTCACTCTTAGAGGTCAAAAGGTTAACCCTCTCACTCTTAAGATCAGTAATTCTCCTTACTGTCTGTAATACAATTCTTATGATATTAGTGTGGAGAATTTGGTATTGGATCAACTGGTTATCCCCTTATTGAAACATTATTCCCATCACTTATCTGCTTGATATTGTATTGATATTGTAAGGAGAAATTCTGTTTTGGTCACTGATTGGAATTAAAGTTAAAGTTGAAGGGTTAAAACATGACATGTTTATTTCTTAGAGATGGATGCAATTCATTTTTCTCTTTCTCAAAGACTTAGTACCTCTTTTTGATTGGCTACGTGATAACAATTGTCCTTTTGCATTAGTTAATACAGCCAAAAATTACAAATTAACTCAGTTCCAACAGTATTTCCATAATATCTTGTGAACATTGAAGTACATATTTTTCTCTTCTGTAGCTGAATTAACTGGTAATTTCCTCAAGCGTGAGTGGTTTAGACCTGATGGTGAAAGGGAGAGTGGTGCAAAATATAATGAGGCCCTGCAGTTCTTACTAAGGTAAGAGGAGGATATCCTGGGGGGGGGGGGGATATCTATGAGAAAGTATATTATGTAAGGGTAGGTAGGTAAAGTCTGCTCTCAAGCCAAGTGGCCCATCCAGCCAGTTTCTGTAGCATGAAGAATATTATTAATCTCCCCCCCCCCATCACAGATTTTTCTCTTTCTCTTCCCCCCCCCCCCCCCAACATTATGTCAGCTCTTACTGACAATTTTCCAGTACCCATTTAAATTCCTGGGTGAAGGGAGGAGCTGTGAAAGTATGGCGTTTTGCCCAAGAACACAACACAATGACCCAACTATTTTAAAACTGAGATCACAAATTTTTCAGTGTATAATAAAAGGCAATGTTCTACCTTATTTAAACATGACAGGTTGACAGACAATTTCAAACCAGTAGAGCAATCCTTTTCACCTCTGTTTTTAGAATTCCAAGTGAATTTAGGCAGTAATATAGGGTAGTACAGGTGGTAAATTTTACTGGTCACAGCCTGAAAAGGTGAACACTGTTAAACGCTCTTTAGGTTTCATCTATCTTGTGCCGAGGACACCCTTGCCACATTAGAGGAAATTGCAGGTGGAGCAGTAACAGAACTTATTGAGAGTGACGACAAAAATGCAGCCTCCACCACATATCAAACTCTTACAAGGTGATTAACCTAAACAATGGCTTGAAGGCTTGGATCAATGTCAATGTTGTGGTTCAATTTTATCCTTGGTTCAAATTTTATTATCCTTTGTTTCAAACTCATTATCATACATTATGATACCCAAAAACAAAAGATGATTATAAAATTTGAACTAAGGATAAAATTGAACCACAACATCAATATCTGACCAACTGCACACCTATCCCCCCTCCCCTAACCCAACTTTAACCCTGACTTGTTTTCAGCTATCAGTTCTTGGGTTAGGGGAGGGGTAGGTGTGCAGTTGGTCTGATATTGATATTGATCCAAAGACTTCATGATATTCAGAAGAGGTTACCAGTATGTCCAAATTGTAACTTCCTCTGCAGCTTGATCTTGGTATTACTTTCTTGCCTGAAGAAGACTAGCAGTATGCAGTCAAAACGTTGCGATCTACATCACACGTGACTACATCATTAGACAAATGAAAAACTCAGCTTTTATTACTTTGAAATTCAGGAAAAACCATTAATGCCTGAAGTAGGTTCAGAATATTAATTGCACTACAACCAATGCTATTTGGCAATAAGGATATGCAATCAAATTACAGAACCCCAAGCTAGTAAATGTTGATGCGTTCATTTAAGATTGTACCAGATTGGTCTGTTCTTCTTTACATGATAACATTCCAAATGTACGTTTATTACCAGTGTTCAGAGTTTTTGGAACTTCACAGTTGAAATGTGTACCTGTAAATGACTGAGTACTCTAGATCTCACTTGCTCATACTTTTTTTTCTATTCATTATACTTGGCTAGATCGTCATTGCCTTGTTACTACCGTGCAATGATGGAAGAGTTAATAGGAAACCTCAAACAAACTCATTCAGTGCCACTCAAAAAAACAGACTCTCCAGAGGTATATACTATATATAGTAACTGTAATTTCTTCTAAATTTGAAGGTTAATTTGTGAGTGTTCAGCTACATTTGTTTTGTGTTGTGTTGTGTTGTGTTGTGTTGTGTTGTGTTGTTTTGTTGTTGTTGTTGTTGTTTTCCTCTCATGTTTTATTCGAGCAATACACTGCTCTTTTTATCAGAATACCCCTTTAATTACACATGCAGGATGTTAGGAGAACACAAAAAGCAAGTGACAAACAAACTTTTCAAAGTAGAATTAAAGAAACATCACTATGAACTCAAAACCCATGAAAATCTTGTGAAATAATTCATTGTAAATTCACGGATTTTTCACAGGATTTTCATGGTTAAATCAATGACATTTTCATGGTCTCAGTGCCATGAAAAAGACCTGAAAAATCCCATGAAAAACCTGTGAAAATTTCCATATTCACGACCCATGAAATATTGAGTAAAGTGACCTAGAAGCCATGAAATACCCATGAAAATGGCATTTCATGGCCTTTTCAAAGGTACTGAGAAACTCATGAATTTCAAGCCCAAAATTTCATGGTGTCAAAGTTCACTAGTTTTTAATGGGTTGCAGCAAATCATGACCCATGAATATCCTGTGAATATGTTAAAAATTCATTGACCATTAAAATTTTCCTTGAATTTTCATGGTCTCTACATGGTTTTTTCATGGCACATGAAAGTTAATTGCCAGTTAGTTTTCATGGGGTTGTTAGGAATATGCAAGCACCATGAAAATTCTTTGGAAACCCTATGAATTTGGAATTAAAAATTCTTCACTTTTCTTGTACCAAAGACTGTACTACAGCATATAGCTTGCAGTATACCATAACTGTAATACATACACCATCACTTAATTTATACACTGAAGAACTAACCTATCTGTGAAACTTCTTGGTCCTGTTGTACAAGCACACACACATGAAAGAAATGACCAGAAGTCTGGATTCTCTGATAGTTTATTTTGTTTCACCAGCTGTACATAAATATTACTTTAGGATTCCAAAATTGTGATAATTCAGTTTACACTTTCTTAAATAAAAAAAGTTGGTATGAAATTTTCTGCATAAAATTAAGATGTTAATGATTTTTAGCTCTATTTTGATATCACTGATTTTCCTTGTGGAGACAGATTCTGCTCCTATATTTCTGTTTATTTAAACTATTTTGAAGGTATATTATAAATAAATTTGATGTGAAAAATATTTGGATGAAATTATTGAAAATATACTCACTGGTTTGATGTATTTTTGTCTAAACTTCAAATATCATTTCCTTCGTCTAATATCATGTGTAAAATGTTATGGACAGTTATTATAATGTCTATTTATGTAACAGCATTCATGTAAATTTTTTCTTGATATGTTTTACACTTGTGATCAATACTCTCAAGGTAACTAACAACAAAACAATTACCAATTTTCTGCACTCTTGCATGTGTGAAGATATATCTATGGCTGACTATGGCAGTGTCTCTCTGTTTTGGCCACCTGAATGTGCCATCCTTCTTTCGGTTATCATTACTATTTGCATCTTCATCATCATTTGGACCAAGATAGGCTGCTTTAGCAAGTTTGCATTTCCTTTCGTCAGTTTTGTAGACCAACACTCTTCACTGTTTGCAAAATAAAGGGAGCACATCATCAGTTATCTAAGAGCCTTTCTTATGTACGTAGTAAACCTAAGTGAGGTGAGGTGAGGTATTTCGTATTCAGAATTTGACTGTATTTTTTATTCCTAAGAACGGTCGTAAGTATTTCCATACAAACTCTTGTGATGTTACGCCAGATGATCACAGAATAAAAATTTTTAAGTTAAATCAATAGTTAGCGCGCGCGCTCCGATGTTTACGCGTAATAAGATGACCAAGCTTGAACTTACCCCTTCACGTTGTAATGCATATCGATAACTTCATCTTGGGGAAACCTCTTTGAAAAAACTTTTCAGACGGTCCATTGCGTTGATCTGGAAAAAAAGAGACTGCTACACAAATACTACAAGAAATGCAATTGGAATGGAACCATTCCGTTCGAGGTACGAAAAAAACCGCCACTTCTTCGTAAATCACGTGTACTTTAACGTGGTGACCTTGGGTCATCGCAGCCATCATAGGTCAGCGGTCACATAGTGACCTCACAGGTTATCGTGTTCGACGTTACGAAATTACTCCGAAGAGGTCTCGTTGCTGCGTCTGTAATCTTACAAAATAAAGCAGCACAAAAAGCTGTTCGGTATTTGGAATTCGAAGCAAGTAACAATCGACAGGACATCAGAGTCCAAGAAAGTCAGAGCTGACATCGAAAGTGATTCCTGTGAAAGCGATCACGAAATCAACAACGATGTTGTAGAAGGCAATCTCAATGAATACATGAAGGTAACGTTTCATCCCGACTGAGAAGATGGCCTGACTCTGTTAACCGGCGACTCTATGAACGAGGTAAAAATAGCATTTTTTTCAGGTTACATTTGCACACTTTTCAAAGTTCCAAATTGAGGTGACAAAGTGATTGATTTTCATTGTTTTGTTCCACATTTCGTGTAGATGCAATGCGTACTATTGCTGTGCAATTTAAGCATCTGTACTCTGCAGCTGCCTTACGGGAAAAGCCCTAGAAGATTCCTCAGAATGTAAGAGAAGGCCTTGAACAGGTTTCCAGAGTCATGGCTAACAATCAAAGCCAGCAGTGAGGCAGAAAAAAAGTCAACAAAGTCGTCCAGGCATGGCGAAGGCAAAAATGCCCCAAAAAATCAAAGTGAGGATCAAACATCTGGGTCATTGCCTCCAGCCCCATTTGTCTCAACAAAGGAGCAAATTGAAGATCCATTGTTTTTAGTCATTGTTTTGTGATTTCCTGTACATTTTACGTTAACAAAGGCCACTTAAGATGTTTAGGGACATTTTCATTCGACAGTTTTCGCGCTGTACACCAAAATTCCATCAGTGGATAAATTTATAACAAGTCAGTTCCACGGATCATGAAAGTCAGCTCGTTGATAAATCAGTGACTGTGATGAACTCATTAATACCACTTTTAATGGCCTATGGATTTATCAATGAAATTCATGGGCAACAGATTTCAGGGAATATTCATGGCCCATTAATTTTGTTCTCCCAAAACAAATAAATTGTTAGCCCATGAAATGCTGTTTGATTGCAATTCATGGGCATGAAATTCATTCTGATGACTTTCTGGGGAAACTAATGGGTCATGAAAGTAGACTTTGAAGAAATTCATGGGTCATGAAAGTAGGCATATAAAGAAATTCATGGGTCATGAAATTAATTCTGGTGACTTTCATGGCAAATCAATGGGTCATAAAAATAGACTTTGAAGAAATTCATGGGTCATGAAAAAAATTCTCCTAATTCATGGAAAATTCAGGGCTAAAAATAACCCCATGAAATTTCATTTTGCAGTATTCATGGGCCATGAAATGATCTTCATGGGTTTTTCACATGAAATTCATGGAATTTTCATAAAACTACAGTTCATAGTGCATGCTTATTTCCTTTTTTTACCCTCTTAATTTTGCTTGTAAGCTAGATTTTGATATATTTAAAGTAGGCTTTTGTTTGTCCATGGAGGTGGTTGGATGAAATGGGAATGTTGTTTGTGACTAAACATTTTTTGGTAAAAGGCATTGGGCTAAATCTTATTGGTTGTAACATTTAAGGTACATGTTTATTATTTTAATAATTTGTTATGCCCTGCATCCTCTAACTGTCAATAATGAGTGGGCCTTAAAAGGAACATCTGTCTGTTTTGTTCCTGTAGTGTCACAATGAGAGGCTGGTGAAACTGAACATTTCTGTTCGACTTTTTCACATTCTTATAAATCTAGTTAAGGTGAGCTACAGATATTGATTACAGATTATTTTGCTGCTGTAAGAAAGTTAAATAAATAGATACTGGAACATTCTCGCTACCAGATAAAAATCAAAACCAGGAGAGCTATTTAAATACATGAATTGGAAACCACAAGATTCTGTCTGTGAATAATTCACAATTGTTGAAAAACAACCAACTACCCCCAAAATGAGCCTGATGAGTTGAGTTATTGCTTCAGCAGATGACAAACAATAAGCAGTTGAAATGATGTTATATTCATTAGATGTAAACACGCAATGAGGCAAAGAATTCTAATTTATCTTTTTAGTATCTCATGGTGGTAAACACTACAAAAAGCTACTTTGAGTAACTCCTTTAACTCTTAAACTCCCAGAAGTGATAAACTTGTTATTTCTCCCTTTGATATCCATACATTATTCAGCAAATACATGTAGTGAGCTCGAAAATCATCAAACTTATCAAGTAGAAAGTAATATCGTGATCTAACATCTAATTCTCCTAATTAACAATCAGATTTTGGGAATTAAAGGGTTAAAACACATTAGTGAAACACTTTCTGATGCCATGAATGCAATTCTGAGTTATGATGTAATTTTTTTCCTGATGTTTGTCAGGCTTTTGATCAAAGGTCTATGATTGGAGCATCTTTGAAGGTACAATGTTTTAAAATTTTTCCTGAAGTTATTTTAATAAAATTGTTGAACATCTCAGCTTGTTGCACTGTTTTTACACCCTCTTATTTCAAAAGGGTAAATGAAGTTTAGTATTTAAGACTCATCATTATGCACTATGAAATATATAGCTACCTGTATTGTAGAGTTCTACTTGCTGTACTTTAAAGACAGGTGCTTACTAGATATGTGCTGTTCAAGGTAATTCCTCGTTGGCTTTTTGGCCCTCTTTTGTTACAGCACATACATGTACTTGTTACATGATCATGGAACAACTACATGACATGTATGAGTATTTCCTCTCCACTTTAACAGCACAGTTGTCCATGGGGGGGGGGGGGGGGGGGGGGGGGGAAAGCAGTCAGTGAGTCATCACATTTCCTTGAAAGGTTGCCACAGTAGGCAGGTAGGCTTTGTGTAGGTAGAGGAGATAAGTTTCTTTTAAAAAAATGGTGGTGCTGCATGAGTGGGTGAGTATAACAAGACAATTTGGTTTTTTTAAACTAGAATATTATCAACTCAGTTGTTAAAGCCAAATTACTTTGTGGGGGTAGAGTTTCATGTTAAAAAAAAACACAACACAGTCACATGGTCAGGGCTTGAGCCCAAACGTTTATAACTGGAGTCCAAGGCACTAACCACCTGAGGACTACATCATCCAAAAATAACCTAAAAGTTTGCTCTTCATTTCACTTCTTCTGTAGTTTGGACGTTTATTTTTGGATACATTCCTTAAGTTAGGAATGCCAGTACTGGATTTAATGTTCAGGACACACAAGGTTAGTGTGAATCAACAAATTGAACCCCCTCTCAAAACCCTGCCCTTTCATTTTATGTATTACTAAGTAGTAGTGGAACACAGTCTTAATCTGAAATCAATTTAAACATTTACTTTATTTTGTTGTGTGCCCTCAAAAGTTTGATTAAAACTGGAAAGAAAACAGTAATTAAAAGCAGTGTGAATAGATCCTAGTACAATAGGTGCTAAGAAATTTCTGGAAAATAGTGAGAAGTTACTGCTAAGTTTTTTGTGACAAAAATGACATTTCTTTTAAGTTTCTTACCTTAAATTTTTCTTCCCAAAAGGATGATATTAATGGAATGTTGAAAAACTTGCAACAGAGCACAAGATCTCTTCAACACATTTGTGGACACAGCAAGGTCAGTTTATCCTAAACATGTGCTTTATGGAGCGTTCTCCCATATTTTAAGCCAGACAAGTAAAATAACTTTTCAAACCTGTAGTGCAATTTTTTTACCTGTTGAATTTTCAACATTTCCAAGCGAGTTTAGGCAGTAATAAGAGGTACTACAGGTGATAAATTTAACTGGTGAGGACTTCAAAAGGAGAGCAAGATACAACATTGTCAAGAACGGACCAACACGTTTCCCTTGAAATCAGCTTCTTAATAATCTAGAAATTCAGCATTTATGTCTGCAGGTCAACTAACGAGCTGAGCATGTAAGACCATTGTTTTCACTAATAAAGCAAAGATCATAATCACAGGTTTCTGGTACCTTATTCATGTGCTTCCAGTCTCTTCGTGTCACGCAATAACAATAAAATTATTGTATACAGTTTCTGACACCTTATCTGATGATACTGTTTCTTTTTATTTCAGGTAACAAAAGATCTCTCCCTCACTAATCATGTCCCAGCAGTCAAGAAGTGTCTGGAGACATTTGTCTTTAGAGTCAAGGTGCATATATTTAAGTTTGTTAAGATTTAAAACTACAAAGTTCTAACTCTTCAATATTAGGTGGGAACCTTCCATTTCTGGCAGTCATTTTCAGCATCCTTTTTTCAGTCAATACATTCTGCATTTGAACCCTAAGTGGATCATGTGTTCCTGTAGTAAGAAACTTATCTCTCACAGTACATCTCTCCACCCAGGAGTATAAATGGGTGCCAGCAATCTGTCAGGGAAACCCAACGAAATGCCAGGAGGTAGCCTGCATAAGGCAGCATTCCTACCAAGAGTTGTAGCATAACACTCGTTGTGGCTTTTTCTGGAAGAATTAGGGTTGTAAATCTGCCTGTAATGGGGCTCTAGGTCTGAGATTTACAGAATGTTGAACATTGTGTAAAGAGGTGAATGTATAAAGTCAAATACTCACAGTTCTATGAATGACTGACTTTAGCTTCTGTATTGTTTTTCTTGGATTGCAGGCAATGCTTACACTAAACAAATGCCATGAGGCTTTCTGGGTCGGGACGCTCAAGAACAGAGACCTACATGGGCAAGAGATCATGTCGCAGCAGTCTGTGGGAGAAGAACCCACAGAAGAGGAGGAGGAGGAGGAGGAAGGTGAAGAAATGGAAGAGGATGATGATGACGATGATGATGCTGACAAAGACAATGTAAGTTCACTTCCATGATTCAATAACTGTCACACTCAGGAAACCAAAAACACCAGAAATATTTATGGAATTTTGTGGAGTTCTGATTAGAGATGACATGGTGGCCTGGTACTCAGTGTGCTGGACTGGAATGGACTGGACTCCAGGTCAAGGATTTCCAGATTGGAGACTTAGACAAGTTATTGTGTTTTGTTCTTTACTCTTACAGTGCCTTGTCTTTGTTTTTAGGGAGATGAAGGTGCAAGTAACGATGGAGAATCAAGACATGATGGTGCAGAGTCATACAGTGAAAGTTTCTAACCATGATCAGCATTATAATGAGAAATATTACAAACACTTATTTCAGAGTTCTGTCATAATTTGGAAAAATTTTTTTGCAGTTGGCTCAAGTGTGTGTGTCTCTTATCAATCCCAGATAGATATCCTAGATTTCCTTGGGAACTACATAGGTCCAGTCTGAAACTCTTCAATTAAAACACCTTGTACGGTTAGGAAGCTCAACTTGCAAAGAATAAAAAATGGCCTGGCTTCTTTATCTTTTAAATTCAAATTCAAATTGGTTGAAGATACTGAATTTTGAAACAAAAATATTGCATGAGGCCTGAAGTAACATAATTTGATGAAGAGATAAGAAGACAGAGTTGAGATAAATTATAATGCACAGACTTTAACACACATTACTTCTCTTCCTTTATAGTTGCAAATAATTTTTAAACAAGTACAGGTGTGTTATCTGGCTTACAACTTTGAGGAAGAAAGCCACGGTTGAATTCGGTTTTGAGATGGTTGATAACACAGTCAACTGCCATCACCAATGTGTTTATTGAATTGTACATTCATGTCTAAGTTACCAATGACAATTTGAACTGGCATAATCAAAAACTGAAAATCAGTTCAAATTTTATTTCTCATTTTAGAATTCAAAGGCAAGTATTGGTGTTGCTTTTATGATTGCCAAACACCATAAATAAATAATTTTGCTCTGATGAAGGGCTAACATGGTGGCCAGTTTACATTATCAACTCAGTTGATAAAACCTAATTAGTTTGAAATACCCACAGCTTCTTTAGAAACCCACCCTCTTTATTCAAACACTAAATAGATAACTTATTTTGGGGCAATATGTATTTGGTTGTTGCTGCAATGACTGCCATCAAGGCATAACACTTGTTCGTCATCTTAATGGTAAACCCTGATAATCTGTTAGTCACTTGTTATGAAATAGGTCGCACCCTTATTACAGAGATCACACTTGCCCATCTTTCTACAGCCACTGACTGATCAAACCACAATGGCTGATATCTCTTGGTGCTATTGAAAAGCTAACAGTACAGCAGAAAATGTTATTTATGAGCCTTTTCTTTATGTGACTGTGTATATCACTAATATTATGTGCATATTATCTTGAATACATCCTATTCCACTCTACACAGTCTGCATATCTGACTCCATTTCCACCAAACAAATCCAGAGCACTGTTAAGAAAAAAATACAGAGTGATTCAACATCAAGCAGCTATGTACTTTGAAAAAGAAACCCATTGAATAATCATTTCACCCTCTTTATGCTGAGGAGAGCTTCAGTTGGCAATTAATTCCTTTATTCCATTAAGGGTTAAAGAGCTAAAGTCCAATGAGAACATAAATCTTGCTCTGAATGTTAAAATCCTATCTTCTACTTCAAGGAAAGTATTTTCCATGCAGTGAATGAACATTTTCTCCTCTCGGTATCAGACAAGCCAACTTTCAATTCAATCTCATAGGGAAAACTGAATCGCAGATTATTTCCCTAATCTGGGCATATTGTGACACTACTGGGTCTCATTAAGAGGAGAAAATAAATGACTCATTTACCTTCCAAAAGTTAAGTCCACCTTTCCACCTGATAGCCTGTTCACCAATTCCAAATCACTGATGTCTATAGACGGGTAAAATCAATTAAAGAGGTTTTAAGGTGGACAATACAGAATAATCATACTTGAATTTTTGTTGCAAGTGCACAAATTCCAATGCAAATGATCTTCAATATCTGTAGACAAATAGCAAAACCTCTTTGTTTCAATAAATTTTACTATAAAAATTTAAGACTACAACCAATCATGGGAGTCATTGGAAGAAGGTATTCCCTCCCATCCTTTCTCCATACACCTTTATTTCTTTCAGGATAACGCTTTTTTTTCAGTGGCTAAAAGATCAAGGCTTGCTGCAAACTTTCAGCCTGGTCTTTTTTAAGCATCTACCTTGCTAATAAGAATCCCTTCAAAAAGGTTCAAATTTCTAACCTTTCCCACCTCCAGCATAAGTGCAAGGTATTGGAGACCACTGACCAAGAGCTGTAAGAAAAAAAAGTAAAGGAAATGAGCAAGAATGACAGACTGCACAAAAGTTAAAGGTTTTTAAGCAATTCATGAACTTTGAATTCCCCATCTTTTACACAAAAAAAAATTTGTACCTTTTACAAGATCTTCATCAATTCCTTTACAAAGGCCCTTCAAGAGAGAGAGAATGAATTAAATTGTAAAAATTCCACTTTTAAGTAAAATTAGCTTCTTGTGTCATTGCTAACGATGGCTGATTTTTAATATTTATTTATCAACCCTCTACACCCTAAAATTAAAATTTAAGTTCTCCATTCTGTTCTCTTTACATTTCCTGAGGTGCTGACAAGGGGGATTTGTTTAAGAATCAAGAGCTTCTTAAGTTGGTGATCATCTCCTCAATTCTCATGACTTTAAAATTTGATTCAGGGATGAGATCATAAGGAGAAATAAGATACTAATCACTCATAGGGGTCAACAGGGGCAGTTTTTTGTTAAACTTTCCTTTATTCTTCATGTAAATCACTGATAGCGAAAATTGTCAAACATAACTCTTACCTCTACATCAGCAGCATGTACAAGAAACTCTGATGCAAATTGAGACATCTTGTGTAATATTTCTAAAAATGATAGTCAATTTGAAACATAAAGAGGATCTTAGTATGTACGAGCAATGCATATCAGTTTATGGACATATCAGAAATGGCATCTTTTGATCCACTATTGGAAAGTCTGTTTGTTAACTTTGACCCTTTGGGAAACAAGGGTGCAGACAAGTTATGAACTTGATCTCACTGTACACTGAGAATACCCAGCTCACCTTTGGATATTTCTAAACTGGTAACTGTTTGCCACTTGTTCATGGCAACAAACCAAGAATTCTTTTGACGACGACAACTTAGATCAATGACCAGTTGTTCTTTGCCAATTAAACTGCTTAACTGATGGAGTCTTTCCATAGAAAATTCACCAGAAGGAAACAGCCATGATGTGACAATGACCTGGAATTATAACATAAAAGCCATTTAGCAATTATTTACTGATATGACTAACAGTTTACTGTGGTAGCAGGGATAACAGTAGCTTGCCTTACACACCGTGATATTAGTAGTACTGTTCCACCACTGAGCTGGTTTCGGTGGCAGATCCAGACCTAGAGCTAAGGGGGGGGACCCTGTTTTTTGTCGCTTGCCCTGCTGGCTTTTCTTCTTCTGCGATTCTTTTTTTTTATTTACCCAAAATAAGGGGGGGCCCAGGCCCCTCCCCTAGATCTACCACTGGGTTTCTTGTGAGTCTTCTCACCACAAGGAATACCTGTCTATTTCACGATAATCTTCCATTACCTTAGAAGCTCCTTTATCAAGCCATGATATTGCATTATCAATGGTTATTCCCCCTCCAATCTGAAGACCATCAGGCCAGGCTGCCAAGGCTTCCTCTGCAGCAGCATCATTACCAGGACCCAGTTTGATCACATGACCTCCAGTAAGGTTGTCTTTTCGGTACAGTGAGGCAAAGTAACCTGGCCTATGACTGTAGAATATCAGATGCAAATGTCTAAGCTAAAAAAATCTACTGACAAACTGTGTCTCTTATGAAAATCTTATGTCTAGGGTTTTTCAGCCACATCAGAACAGTCTGCCTTTCCACACATTGAAGGCAATATACCTACATCTAAACTCTCCTTAATGCCCTACATAACAGTTGGGCTAGCTCTGGGCAGGAGATTCTAGATTTTGGTCAAAAGATTTCATCCCTGCTGAGATTTTATCCAAATCTTGATTGTAATTTACTTTAAGTAACAGGAGACTGGCATTGGGAAGTATATAAAATTACAAGATCTGACTGTTAAACCTCCCCTCTGGCCACTACACATTTCCTTGTAAATAAATTATGAGAATTTGGTGTTAGATCAAGGTAACAACTTCTACCAGATAAGTTTGTACATTCTCATCACCTGTTTGCTGAGTAATGTATGGATATAATAAGGAGATGTAACATGTTAATCACTTCTGGAAGTGAAAGGTCAATGTATTCATGTTTGAACTGGTTGGGAGATACTGGATCTTGGTCACCAGATCTCATTCTCACCAGGATATGATCCCGATCTTGATTTTAATAGATTTCAGGCGACAGAAGACGTGAATTGGATTGAAAACAACATTTTATCTATCTCAGATTTCTTCAACATTTACCTGGCAATAAAATTCGTTTGGAGATGCCCCTCGTTGTCTGTCAAAGTGCCACCGACAATCTGACTAGAACCCAAGAATGGTGAGAAATTTACCTTTAGTTAAATCAAAATGCACTGTTCCTGGAAACAAACCTGTTTAACTTTTCCATCGTGTAGATCGATACACGGTCTAAATTGGGTTACTTTTTGATGATCGTCCGCCATTTTACGTTTTGAACCAACTGGACATTTCATGTATTTTTCATATAATATCAATAAGAACCAATTTTGCAGCTGGCTCTAAGAGGTGCGGGCTTAACTTTAGAGCAGAATGGAACATCAAGATGGCGGCCGACACGAGTGAAAGTACTGCTGAAAAACTAACGTTTACGTGCGCATCATGTGGTTTTGAATGTAATTATGAATATTTTGGGAAAAAGCCGCCTTTCTCCAAATCAGTGGTGTACGTATATTATTTTTTTGTCCGTGGTTTTTTATTTTTTTGTTGCCGAACGTTATTTCCGCGTGTCACGACGCAATTTGCGCGCTCCCTTACGCGCCAATCAATTCGAAGCTTCAAAAACCCCTCAGGGAAACCCCAAGAGCTTTCAAGCTGATTTTCCTGACTATCAGCATGTTGAATGACTATCAGCCGACATAGTGATTAAGGCTACAGATAGAAAGTGGCATTCTTTTCCTTTGATAACAATAACTTTCTTCACCTCTGTTTTATGACAGACTTCTGGAAGATGCATTTGTTATTCGAGATCCTTTCTCACCAAATGCTGGGCATTTAACATTAGGTGGACGGTGCTGCTTGTGTACAAGACACATTTGCATTTCACAGGTATATGCGCATATTTCAATGATATTGTTTGACTCTACATAATTTCAACCTTTTTTCCTTCCCATCTTTTCTCTATGCAGGCTTTCCTGTCCCAAGTCCCTGTTTCCCAATCCCCTCAGACGTGGAGTGAAGGGGGGAGGGCTTCATCCTCTTTCACTCCCATGAGTGACCAGGACAGAATTTCTCCTAACAACATCAGTACAAAATCAAGCACAGTAGTGATGAGAAGAAAGTTAAATATCAATCAGGGGATTATTAGTTGATCCAAGACCAAATTCTCCAAACTAACATTATAAGAATTGTATTGCAGACGGTAATGGGAATTACTATTTAGATCATGGGGTGAAAGGGTTAAGTGTTAATAGAAGAAAGCTTTGTAGGGTGGAGAGCTTCAGAAGGGCATAATTTATAGAGCTATGTTCAGGCCCCTGCATTGTCATTCCCGATCACAGTTGAACCTCAATTAAATGGAACTGTGGGGACTGGGCTGATAAAAAAATATGATTATTAATGAGCCAAAATAAAACTGAATATGTATAATTTGATGAATTTTGTGTGAATATTAGAGGACAGTCTCAAATAACTGTGCATCACTTTTAACAATTTGCCAAAGTATTTACAAATGCAGTTTGCTTCAAGCTACTCCACATGTGCAATTCTACTATTCTTTGAACTTGCATTAATGTAGTTGCATCAACATTATTTTAGTTCTGCCTTCTCTAATTGGAAAAAGTTGATTGAAGGTCAACTGTAGAAGGTTGTGGAGTCATGGTGAGTGGGAGATTTAGCCATAACACACCCCCCCCCCTCCCCGACTGGTAAGCTGGACATTATATTGGCCTCTTACTGCCCTGTATCCCTGTTCCCCAGTCGAGAGGGGGTGAAAGGGGGGGGGGATACAGGGGAAAAGATTCAGTCCTAGGTGCTAATGCCTAAGGGTAGAGTAGAAATTTTTGTTAATTCTTATCTGCTGGATAACAATTTATTAGTAGAATGAGCATGCTAAGCAGCATCTGCCACTTTGTGTATAAGCTTATTCTGCACTCTCTTTTGTCCTGCAGGGAATTTCAATCCCTTTGAAGGGAATGCATTTTTGTACTTAGCTAACTAACTATTCTTTTTACTTATTGATGGGGTGAAGCAATATAAGCATGCTGTTAAGAGCAATGCACATTGGTGCATTGCTGTAGAAGGTGGACTTTGAACTCTGATGATTCACAGTTCAGTGAATGTTTCATGTAGTTAGGAGATGGACTCTATATTTATTTGCAGTCTTCATGTTTTAGCGCTCTTGGCTTGTTGTGCTCTGCTTAAAGAGACGCTGGGAATTTATACTCAAGTTTGGTTCCCTCAGAGTTTATGTAACCAAATACTGTTTAGGAGTATCTTGTAATTGCTTGCAAGCTGACAATTTTTAAAAACTGAAAACTGTTTCTATTTCTTATCAGACATGCAGTATTTTCTACACTGAGCGGTTCTGTATTTCGTGTGTTCAGAAAAACAAAGAAGAATTTCCAGATGAAATACTCAAGGTAAGTTGTGATGTTTACAGCCTAATATCCATTCCCTACTTAGTTAAGAGAATTGGATTTCAGTGCCAAAGTAACGCCCCCTGCTGATAAACTACGACTCTAGCGTTTTTAGCAATGAATCGATGTTTAGGAGAACTTTTGTGTAAATTACTTTGTTTGTTAAAAAGCTTAAACTTTGCCTTTACTGAATAGTCTGAAAATTTCCGGAAGAGTGCATATTTACAAGTATCGTCGTTACATGAGAGGTTTCCTTTACACATTTGGATCAACTGTCTTAAAATGTTATCCATTTTGATTGCTGGTCAGTTGTTTGAATTTGGACTGAATTGGAAATTTTCTTGGTCACTTTAAGTTTAAGTTGAACTTGTGCACGATCTCCCTAAATGGAAAGTAGATAGCAGAAAGTTTTGAAAGTTCCAAACTCATTTAAGAGCACCTACGGGCAAGTGGTTAATGCCAAGGTTAAACGTTTAACAAGCTACGTTATTGACCCTCAAGAAACTGAAATGCAAAAACATACGAGTGACGTCTTCAAGATACAGAAAAAGTAGCATTACCTTATGGGACGAGGAACATAAACAGAAATAATTTAACTGAAGCGATAGAATTTTCAAAGAATCGTGTGGCTTGGTAAATACTTTGAATTATTTATTATTGATATGCTCAATAACAATCTCTGACTTTCTTAACCTCGATTTGGCGTTACAAGAATTAAAAATTAAATTTTTAATAAATAATGGTTCCTCGGCTATTTGACCATTTTTCAGTACGATGAGCATTGAGCAGGCTCTCTTCCCCCATCTTTCCCTTCTCTGATGGAGGGCATATTAAAGGTCTTACTTGGGAAAACCATAGTCGTAATTGAAACGATGAAACCTAATTTCAATCTAAAAAATCCAAATGCAAACATTTTTAAGGGCACAGGTTTTAACTTAGTTCGTAGGGGTTGCCAGGACGAAGATATCATAGGCAGTCTAAAGTACGTTTTCAACGTTGTAGACTCCGTGGGTCAAATCCCCATGTTTTGAAGATCGCCAAAAATGAGGCGCAAGTGAAGCTAAGACGTGTCTCGTGATTTGCGTGTGCTCCCCAGAATAGTAATACCGGTACATATTTCACATGTGCGTGACGTAGGGATCACCTCTCGCGCTGTGATTGTCTGGCCGTGAAGTGAATTTATCCATCGCACGTTTTAAGTCACGCTCCGTACTTGGCTATGCTCACGGCTTACGTCACTATTATCAGCGCGCGAAAATCATGGGTTAATAGGCCTGTCTCTCGTGCATTCTGAGTTATATAATAAATTGGGAATTTTAAACATATCCGAGGCTTGACACGTGTTGGAGAACGATAAACTTCTTTATAATTCTCGCGTGTTTACATCTCAAGCAGCACCGACTGATGGACTAGTATTCGTCAAAACATTGCATCAGATTTTTTTATTTTTGGCGGGAAAGATGGGGACCTTCTGGAGAGGGGCATAGTACACTTATCTTGTTCGCACGCGCAGCCAGAGGATTCGCTGCTGGAGTCACACGTGTTTCGTGACGCAGTAGTTGACAGGGTCAAGGTTGTTCATTGTTACACGTGGACTTGTGAAATGTGGTTCAATGCTAGGAAGTTGAAGTTCACACGGCCAAAATAAACGCGCGCAGATCATGAGGGTGTGATATAACGGACTTGAATAAGGCAAAATTGCCTCGTGAGCATTTTGTTACATAAGTTATTGGAAAAATCAATATATTTATAATTAGAAGAGAACACCAGAAATTTTAAAAACCCATCGTAGAAGTTCTCTGATCTCAAAGTGTGTAACACTTGTGTAATTCAATCCTTTCCTAGGGATGGTTTACTGCGTATCCAACTTGAAAGAAATGTCGCTAAGTTTTTTACTTTCGTTCTTCGCAATCCATACTACGCATATGTCACCGTTTTTTTTTTCTCGGTCCTTTAAATTTGTTTTTACGGGTTTGATTTTTGGGTTATCGGCCTGAAAAACAACCATTTCTAGGGTTTTCTTGTTTTAATGTAGAGGCAATGCTGAATTCGAACATGGCTAAAGTCTTGGACACGACGAAATTAAATCAAATTTACCCAATTTTTCCCAACCATTTCCAACTATCAGAAATGGTGACGATTTCAAGTTCCATTACGGTTTGCAAAATTTGAAGTGATCGCGAAGGAGTGAAATTCTCGATCGTCTTTTATTTTTCTTTTCCGAACATTCGAAGACCAGCCTTTGTGATAGAAAGTTGGAGAGAAAGTTTAGTCATGTCCAGGCTTACAACTGCTAACTTCCACATTAAAGTATTTCTTTAGGTTTTTTTTAAACCCCTTTCAATAATTGTACCGTATTGTAGCATTCTTCGTCGTAAATAATTTTTTCTTCTCATAACGCTGGTCATGGCTGAAGAGGCGAGTTCAGTGTCGCGAATAATGGCGCAGGTTATGACCATCCTTGCAAGTCTCGGGATCAAGAGGTCTGGGTTCGACCATTTCCCGGTCATGGTTTTTTTTTTTTCGGGTAAGGGGTGGGGGGAGGGGTGGTAAGGTTCTTTGCCTTTAGAGTGCCTACCGTGTATTCTCCTGGGTGGAGAATACACGGGTTCTGGCGAACTATGATAATAACTTGACGAGTTGCTTCCGGGATAGATGCGATGAGGAACTGCAATTTTCTCCTTAAAACCACCATCAAATAACCAAATTTGAGAGACGGTGCGCGGACAAGTTTTCTTTTTCGACGTTACCAGAACGTTAAAATACCGTGTAGAGATTGAAAAAAAATACGGAAAGGAAGTTTTGAAAGTTGATTCGAATTCCAGAAGGAAATTTAAATAGGAAAACCTCAGCTGGTGTAAGGACTTGACAAGATGCAGGGATGTAATAAATTCACTTGTAACGTCATGTGTCACGCTTGCGTGACTATTGACGTGATACGATAACTGTATTGTTGACTGCACATGTTTTAGCGGAGAAAGTTTATAAAGCTCATGCTTTATTTTAAATGTCTTGCAATTAAGTATCCAGCGAGAGCAGGATCCTTCACTGGATTCTTTTCTTAGCTTGAAGGCTTAAAAATTCCGCCGTAACAAGGTGATTCTCGACTTCAGCATAGTATCGCTGTTCTCATTATGTCTTGTGGTACTGACTTGGAGAAATTGCTAAGCAAACCAGAGCTTCTTTAGTGGGTAATCATCTCTTTTATTCTCATACTATCATGACTGATTTAGCAATGATACTGTAAGGAGAGATTAGATGCCAGTCACTTCGGGATTAAAGAGTCGATATAAGATGGCGTAGTCTGATTCAGATAAGATAACGCAAGGCTTTGGAGAGCTGTGTAAATTCCGGGCGGTAAGAGAATTGCGTTGACGCGTTATTTGATTTCTTCTTGTACCTGTAGGATCTGCAAAAGAAAGATTCCTCTTGTAGCTAGAGAACATTCAATGGAAAGCAATGGGAGGAGAGACTGGTTGTCAAACACAGAGCGCAAACCGGATGGAAGGGAAAGAAAAACGAAATGCCTGAGAAATTAGGGAGAAGGTGGAAAAAAGGCAGCTTCTGAGAGGAAAAAAAACCTGTACTTAACCCCTAACATACTAACATCAGTATGCATATTCTCCATGCTGTTCTCTAGACATTTCCTTAGGTGCTGTCCTGGAGAATTTGTTTAGTAACCATGTGCTTCTTTTGTTAGTGATCATTTCCTTTATTCTCGTGACCTTAATGTGTGACTCAGGGCTGATATTGTTGGGAGAAAATAGATGTTAGTCACTCCTAGGGGTCAAAGGTTAAAGGGAAGAAGTAGTGGTAGTAGTAAGTGATTCCTTACAGATCTTTGCGTATCACAAGCTACGGTGTAATCTATGTGATGTTCTCGCACGTCTAAGATAAATCTGAAGTATTGCATATTTTAGTTCAATGCCGGCCATAAATTTGTGTCGCCTTTTACTTATCAGTTCCCTTGATTCTGAGGGATTGGAAAATCATGAGGTGGTTTTTAAAAGACAGAGTTGAACTTTGTCACCGGTCGTGCAAAAATAATATTTCAGCTATCTGCATTTTTAGTGAGTCTTGAGTACACGATCAAGGATTGAAAGTAATGTTCCAGTTTGTCATACACTGACAAAATATTCTTTCTAACAAGTTCACTGAATTACATGAACTAATTTTACAACCATCAGGGTAGGAAACTGCCTTTAGAGATTATTCTACCTTATTAAAACACTGCATTACCCCAAGGTGGGACCGTTGGTGTCAGGGACCGACACCAAGACTTGTGTACAGCGGTCACATGGCAAATTGTAACTTTTATATTGCCGTGTTGTCGCATCAGTCAGTTTAGCCAATTTTTTTGGGCTTAAGAGCTTTTGTTTTTCAAAGGGAGTGTGAAGCACGTAACATTGTTGTGTTTGTTTGATGATAGAGAATATGGCGTGCTGTATGTAAGAAGTAATTGCTCAAATAAACCAGCCCTGCTCTAAGTGTATTGGTCTTTAATCAACACAATATAACCGAAGGAGCGGAAAGAAATTTTTGACATTAACTAAATAAATAAAGGTCTCCAGCGATCAAAAGCCTTTTTTTGCATTTAGAACCTTTTCCCCCATAAAGCCTTTATACGGGCCCAAGTGGCCCATAGGGCCGGTGCTTAACTCCGGTTTTCTTAGCATGAAGCAGCTAGGAGTATTGCTACTCCCCCTTGGATGGGATACTAATCCATCGCAGGGTTACCCCCAGCCCATTTGCTGGTACCCATTTGTACACCTGGGTGAAGAGAAGACATTGGTCATGATTTATGCTAAGAAAAAAATACCTTTTTAAATGTATCAAATTTTGCTCAAGGCAAGATTAATTTGATGCAGAGAATATATATTCATGGCGTATACTAGACTGAAATGACATTCATCAGCCTTCCGAAAATCCCTAGAACCTTTTTCCTGTCGAATAACTTCAAAGTCAGGTGTTATGTTTGAAGCTAAATGCGTTATGCTTCCCATTTCCCTGAAACAACCAGAAAATAGAATTAAATCATTCTTGCGACCCGCGTATGAAAGGTGAAACTTAAGCGACTGCTTTCGGTGCTATCCAAGAACTTCTCGTCACTCTTGCGAATGGACTCAAGTCACGACGCGCGAAGTTTAAATTTTTTTAGCCATTTCTTAGTGGCGCGAAGAGGCAAAGTCAGAAGGCACGATACTAGTATGAGGGCCTGGACACCAGCGGAAGTCACAAATCGAAACCGGAACTTGGCCTTCGATTTCCTCGAAAAGGTTCCAAAGTCAGCTACAGTGCTTTACTTTCGATATACTAATATTAAGTAGGTACCTGTTGCGTAGAAGAAAAAGGTTTCTTCTTTTCTTCCATGTTATTTGAATTAAGCAACATTTTGCACATCTGTGGATATGAAAAGCAATCTGCCACAACTTTTCAGTTTTCAATTCGAAGTCATCGCGTGTCATCAATTTTTGTAAACACCACAGCCGACTAAAAATAAAATATCATGTGTTTTTTCGACAAAAATAAAGAAGATTCTCCTGTTAACCTTAACCGAGAAAGAGTTAAATTCTTTCAGTCATCAATTGTTTTCATTTAAGTTGTGAAGATCTTTTTTTGCCCTCCCTCAAAAATCAAGAATAGAGAGAGGGGCTTTTCATACGTGAGCCACAATTCACACCCCATGTTGGGTACATAAGTTCAAACTGAACAGCTCTGTCTGTTCTTTCCCAATCATCTGGGATATTTACGACTGTCTGCACGAAAGCTATATTTTCAGACTCTTTGTTCATAGCTGTTTTTCTACGAAGGATACATATATGTGAGTTCGTAATACAAGGTGTAATCTAGCTCCTCAGTGTTGGTGTATACATATATATATATATTCCGCTGAAAATAGCTGAGATAAATTTTTCAGTGCCACACTCTGATTGAAGACGAAAAATCCTCCCCAGAGACAGAGATAATTAGCTAGGGCGTGAGGAAAAACCCAAATTGGGCACAACAAAATCTTACGCAGAGTCACGGAAATTAAAAATATGAAAACAAGTTATTTTCGTCCGTTAGAGGTGGCAAGACAAAAGTATACTTATGGCCGCATTTGTACAAATTCTTATAAAAACTTACTTGAAACTCCGATAAATCGAAACAAAATTTCCAACGAATCTTTTGGTTAATAGCCCTATGTTTAATGTTTTACAAACCCTCGTTGCCCTATTCCGACTGTTGAACGATTATAAAGCCAGGTCTAGTGTCTTTATATGAAAAATCTTTCCTAAAGTTTTTGAAGTTCAACTCTTTTTACTTCTATCCTGGTTAAATGTGACATCAAGTGGACATTAAATTTCCAACGCTTAGTTTGTTTTCATATTATTTCCATTTGAGCAAAGTTATGGTAAGGGGGGGATCTCCCTGGTTACCGAACATAACTTTATTGACGTAATGAGACAGTTTGGCTTTTCTGAGAAAAATCAGGCATGATGCTTTCATGCGATCGTGCTCAAATTTTTTTAATCTTCAAAAGTAAATTGAAGTCTACGCAAGCACGTGTGAAATCGACTAATCACATGCACTCGTGCTCTTCATAATATTTGTCACGCCTTACTTTGACATCTGGGTGAAATGCCCAGAGTAACGCAACAGAAGTGAAAGTGAAACCAGAGGAGCTGATATAAACAATGTTGACATGGGAGATTCGCAAAACCAGAGGAGAGCACAACGCTCGGTAAAGGTTAGGACGTTTTTTTCACTGCTTTAAGGCTACAAAATGGCAAATTTCTAGCCTCGCAAAATTTCAGTTAAGAGTCGTGTGACTTTCGATTTCACTCTCGTGATTCGAATATGACTGCCACTGAAAGAGCGGCAAGATTCTGAGAAATGAAAATGAATTGCGTCACTTTAGCGTACCCTTGAAAGCCACCCTTCGAGCAAAACGCTACTTTTGTAAAATTTACCGATAAAAAAACGAATTTCCAGTCACGTATTTAGACATCCTGTCTTTCTGAAGGTTTTGTTTTGTACTCGACAACCTGATATTGTATTGTGTGAAATAGGTATAATTCATTACGCATGGCTTGCTTCATCCAAATTCTGAGAAAAACGGAAGTTGAGTTCGATTCTTGGAAAGCGTAACGCTAGTAAGTGACGATCTCTGTTGCCCTTCGACTGTCTATAAATGCTACGCGTACTTCATGTGATGTACCTTTCTCTTAAAGAACGAAACCAACGCACAACAACTTGATCGAGGAGATTTTCACGTTGGTTTAAGGTCTGCCATTTTGTGTGAGTAATTTCTAAAATCGCTGAATTATTGCCATGGTTTTAAATAATATTTTGCCGACTATTCGTGACAACCGCGTCGCAGAATTCACAGTCAATGTTTATAATTACACTAGAAGGCAAAATTGACCTGGCATATGTTTAGGAACACAGCTTTTTGGCACAAAATTTCGCATTTAAATTAGTGCGGTTCTATTAGTTAAATGATCGTACAACGAACTAGAATTTACTTTAGAATCACAGAACCGCTAGTCCAAAATGCTGCTACAATGATTACACAGCTAATTTCAAGTCACAGACACGTTTTGCAATTTAAAATTGATCGATATAAATAATTTGAGCATTAATGCGGAAAATCTGTCTCGTGTAGGAAGGTTTTGTTAATCGGCGCAATCGATAAGCAGCTTTGTAACGGTTCTCAGCGCGGACGGGAAACTGTTTTCACACTTTTATTTTCTCAATACAGAGTCATGGCGCTGCATTACTCTCCACAACTGTTTGATGTAAACACGAATTCTCAGTTGAAGATGTTGAATTTTATGGAGAGTACATCGTTCTTTGACAAGAGCTGTGGTCAACAAACGGCGAAGTTTTTCAATGGCTTTCCTCAACCGTTTGGATTTGACGATAGAGCGAACATTTTAGAAGGTGAGCTGCTCCGGTTGATGTTACGAAGAGTTTAAGTTAAACCGCTTGCGTGCCGTATCGTCCTAAGATTAATTTGCGAGGTAAATTAGTTCCACTTCCGTGTTCTCACAGAGTTGACGCGCGGTATTCGTTCGCCGCTTTAAGTTGCAAACTTTCCTTGACGGACTAGGATTTCAAAGAGTTCTAAATCGAATCAACATTTGTGAAAGCTTTAAAAATTCAGCGCAGAAGTGTCTGTGCTATTCAGTGGCTGCGAGAACGCCATATCTCTCTGTCGATCGCGGTCCTTTCAATTAATTTGGAACTGGTTTAATTTTGAACCGCAATTTATCTTGTTTTGAAGCCGGTTTCATCTAGTTTGAGCAGTCTGTGACGTCGTTTTCGTTTGACTTCAATTGGCTACGGCAGAACCTCTGAAGAAACTTTGTATTAAGTACAGAGGCACTGCGACTGTTTGGTTAAAAAAAAAAACCAACAACAATCATATGCAAACATTCCTTCCCAACATTGGCTTCGATTATTCAATAACCCGTTGACAACATCGGTTTTCATTCTAAAGCTACTAGCTTTAGTTGAAAATAGCTTCAATGTTTGACTTCTGACTTGTAGAGGCGTAGAACAGGCTCAAAGCTGTAGGAGTTCTCAAAAAAATCTAATGAAGATCGATTTTTGAAATAACTATTAGAATTGTGAGGTCTTTCGAAACGGAAATGTTAATGCTCGGTTTTCTTTTTTCATATATTCCGCCTGGAGTGAGTTCGGAGCGTTTTCATTCAGCAAGTGTTAAGGGTATAGAAACTATTTGAAACACCGAATACGCTTCAAAACATTCGATTTCGGTCATGTGGCCTGCAGTTGTTTGTTTTCAAGAATCGCCTCACACAAGCGGGTTACGTTGGTTTTCGAGAAACTTTGAATATCAAATGAATAATCAAACACTGAGAACAGGAAAAACTCAACAATAGTTTAAACGCGACTCGAGTTCTTCTCGTGATTAGGACTTAACTGGCAATAATTTCCTCGAGAATTACGCGTGCAATACTTTCAAGTTGCTCTTGTAAATGCCAGGATATTGCATGCATGCAACCTCTCCCTAGTCCATAAAGACAGATCTCATGGTTTCAATGTCCATGTTATTGTTAGAGAGTCAATTTTATACTCTTATATGTCATTCTAACGATAAAACGTATTTGTATTTACTTGGAGCGCTAATATTCAAGTTATCCCCTCGACAGACTGATCTCCACTTCCTTTACAAATATTGCCGTTCTGTCAAAGTGAACGATGTAGCATTTGGTTCGAAACAAGAACAAATTTCGATTCTCTGGGTGCAATTGCAAATTCATTCTGATATTAAGACTTTTTTTCCTCTTTTTTTCCGTAAAAATTGATGTTAAAAATGATGACCTTTAATGACTCAGTCCCGTGGCTGGGCACGTGACCTCTTGGCGAAACAAACCCAGCTAAACCAAAACAAAGTTTTTTTTTCCCGCCAAAATAGCACAGTCATCACGACATCACGTACAACTTGGGACGCATCAGCATTATTAGCAGCTACTTGTCATCAGTGTTTCACGTGAAAATACCAAAGTTCTTTGTTGGTTGCCCTCTGAGCTTGTCACGGGGTAGTCACGAACCGAGGAATCCCGTATGCAACCATCAGCATTTTGTCTTTGACCTTCAAGTTTACACATCTTGTTTTTAGTTTCAATTTCAATTTCTTCAGTATATCTTTTTATAAACTTGTATCTCTTCGTTATGAAAAGTCTGCTTAATAATAAGAATCAAAGTTGCTGGATTTTTTTCCTAAGCGTACAAAACGTTTCTGGTCTCAAAACTTCGTATCGAAAATTCAAATTTGCTCTGAACTCTAGAAGTTCATGCTAAGACTTTTTGTACCTCGACTTCTTCAGTTCAGAGGGAGATGAAGCCGTATTGAAACAAAAGTAATAGGGATACATCATCATATTGAAAATGATTTTAATAATAATGGAAATTTGTGATAGTACTACCGAAAAAAATAATAATTATAATGATAATCTCAATCTCAGAGCTCTCCCTCCTCGCCTTGAAATCAACTCACAGTTCCTGGGTCTCCTTATATGCAGCATAATAAGCTCATAAACTAGGTTTAGTAACCTTTCGACCAATAATTTTGAGGAACGAACCTGGCAGCTTGTAATTTTTCCTTTCTCTGAATTATGACAAGGAATTTAAGGACTTCAGCTCACTCATGAAGTTTTTATCTCGAAAAATCCCGTGTTGTTTACGTTGTGGATATTTTCGGTGTTACCTCCACTGCAGAAGATGCGTTCGCTACGTAACAATTATTTAAAACATTCTCTGACTGGAATTGGTGTCAAGATTTCTATTGTCTTACATAATAAGATCGCTGCGCACGAACAGAAAAGTTCCTTGCATATTACTTCAAACCCTTCATGTTTGTTATGACGTTAACGTAATTATTCTATCGGTTACAGAGTAACATTATCGAAAACCGTCTGTCGCGTCTTAAAATCTCATTTAAGCTCTGATTTATCATTTGAAGTTGTAGAATAAGGCCATAGATAATTTGTGCTCTATAAAATGATCAGAGATTGGGAAACAACACTTTTTGTACGAATATGAATTAAGACGGCGTTAACAATACCGTAATCAGCTTGTTATTTGTGATATTTGCTCGGATTGAAAGAGAATATTGCACAAAATGACAGTGCAGAAGTTTATTGTTTATCGTCCGGTATAATTTCCTTGGAAAAAACGTTGCAAAGGTGATCAAAGATTTGGGAGAAATGTTGGAGAAAAGATTTGAAGGTGTTACGGGTAGCACCGATGGAAGTTTCATGATTATTGCGATTGGAGACTAAAGGTGCGTCATGCACGATAAGTAAAGCAGATTGCTTTCGTAAATATTCGTGTAGTTATTCCGGTTTTGAGCCTATACGAAAATTTCTCTCATGCAAAATTAAATCAGCATTAATTATCCTTCTTGCCACGTGAAATGAAATGTTTCAGTTTATTTCGCGTCAAGTAGACTCTGTAGAAGGATCTAGGATAGTTTTAATTTTTGCCTTGTTTGTTAACTGAATTCTATGAGCAAACGCCATCTTTAATCCTTCCCAAAATGCATCGCCTTCGGCAATTCTCAGCATGCACTTCATTAAAGTTAACACGAAAATGCTAATTATGAGTTTCAGCTGTGAAACATGTCTAATAGTTTCTCTGTGACTCCCTGCAAATTTGCGTCACTTTTCTTTTCTTTGAATTGTCAACGTTTGTTCGGTCTGCAAAGTTTTTACATGTTTACCAAGAGCCAAAGTATGCTATCATTAAACCAAATGAAGATCAGTCCAGGTATTCATTAGGCAGAAATTTAGCATGAATTTTAAACGCAAAATTTCATGAATAAAAACGCCCAAAGCTGTTTTGTGTTCTGGGTGGGGCAGCAGCCCTCATTGGTTTCTCTTCACGTGACGTTTTTCCTTATTTGGCCATTTGATTGACAGAAGAGGTCGGACAGAATCACGTTATTTACGCATGCTCAACTCTTCTCAGCCATGCCGGCCTCCAAGTGCTTTTCCTTCCTGAGTTGCTTTTCCTACGAGTACATACTTTGCGAATGGAATCAAGCCAAGAATGCATTTGGAAATGCCAGATTTGGCTTCATGGATCGCCCCTTGCCTGTTCCAGATCTTTTTGATCTAACAGGAAAAACAAAATACCAAGAAAGCGTCATACGGATGTAGAAACAATAGAATGAGACAAACAGGATTAAGGAGACGTTTAAAAGCTTTTATGAGGCGCAGTTTTCGAACTAATCAGTATGTTTTTGAATCATATCGGTTGTGAATTTTCATTTAGCTCTTTGTGCCTTTGACGTCTATTGCCCAAGTACCTTGCAAATTGATAATCACGTTATGGAACAGTTAACAAACTGTTTTATTATCCGTGTGCTTTCGCTTATTCCACTCTTAGCACCTAATGATAAATTGCTCCTCTTCTTAAGAAAATGATCTCACTCCTTTCATTTGAGTTTGGCTGCGTTGCTCGACCAATAGGAAAAGGAAATCTTTGAAACCATGAAACTTGCAGAAATGGGGCCTACGCAAATCTTCTAAACAGCTGAAAATTCATTCTGGTGAGCGAACTGATGATAATGAGCCATGTACAACTGACAACAAATCGTTGAGTAAATTTCGATGCTCTTATTACCAATACAGGTTATCTTTCCAAGCTGAAAATTTGATCCACTCCGACAAAAATAGATTTAAATTGCCTTATTATTCCTGATCGTCTTTTAAAAATCGGCCCCAGAGATGGCTGTGGTGCACGATTCGCTCTGATCCTACGTTTGTAAATGTTCTCGGATGAAGCTGTTAGATGTTCCATGTGTTATACGCCCTCCCCTCCCCAACAAAGATCGTTGTACTTCAGTGGGGGTGGGTGCGTGTGTACTGTTTATATCAGAAGATTTATTTGTGAGTGAGCGACTGGTTTAACAGTGGAAAGCTCTCGCGGCTTTAGGATCTTTTAACTCAGCTCCTGCTACTGTAAAGGATTGTTATCAAAATCAGCGAAATATAAATCTTACACACCTGAATAGTTCTCTGAATTTTTATGTTTGTTTGGTAACAATATACAGAATAATATTTCCCAGAAACCGCGTCTTCTAAGAAACGTCTGAGTGTAATTCCGCAAACACTACATTCGTAATCAGATCGATCGGCCGGGTTAAACATCGGTAGCATGGACTTGGAAAGGTTTACCCTCTCCTTTTGCTCTTCAAGAGATGAGCAACAATCTTTTAGTAAGTATATATGTAACTCGGTTTGCCATGAATGACTTCTTCAAGGGTCCTCGTTATTTTCCTTTTTAAGCTACGGGTGGGAAAACGTTGTTGTCGTGTGAGATTGTAACCGCTTGTTAAATCAGTCGACGTACGTGTTCCTTTGTAGATCTTTTTTAGGATGGAAGCGATGAAGATATGAACGTGTTTCGTCGGATTCCTTAAACTAAGGGCTTTTGTAGAAAAATTAGAAATCGCATGGTCGCGTGAATTTCACACTCGCTACAAAGACCCTTGATGAGCTTGTTTGCATCAAAATTTACCGATCTCGCCAGAGGGTAATTGGAAGATCTCTGAAGTACCTTTTCTTTCATACTTTCAGAGAAACCCTCGAGCAGTATTCGATATACCGGCGTGAAACAATCCTATCTGCTACTGTTTTCTCGCAAGCCATGAAGGAAGATGTATTTTTATATGGCTCGCTTTAGTTAATAGATGCCTCGTGTTCGATGAAGCCATGAACACTTCAATTCATTGAAACAATCCTGTTTACTGCCGCTTGGCGTGGCTTGGCTCTTTTACTGCTAAATTACGTGGAAAGTAGTTTGAGATCCAGTCGAGTTTTAAATGATAATCGTTCATGAATGGAAAAACAAGAACTTAAAGTGAAAGTAAAACTTCCGCCTTCGCTGAAGAGAGCCATTCATTTTCATAATCAATGAAATGCTTCTGTTTGGGCGGAATTGTTCTAAAAGCTATGTTAAATTCCCCGATTTTTTTAGCCTTTCGTCTAATACAATGAAATTATTCGATTTAATGTTGATATAAGATGGAAGAGCGTTTTGTTGTTGTAACAGAAGAGGCGGCTTATTCGTTTATTCAAAATGCGCTACCAGAGCATTTCGTTGGGTCAACATCTTTCTCTGTGAACATTTTTGACGGTAAGCTGTTTGCGAAAGCTTCTTCTCGCGCTCTGCATGAATGATCTAATGGAAAGTAAACATACCAATTTTCCTGTGGAGCGGAATTATGCGCTTATATTGTTTAGGAGGCATGGATCAATTCCTCGTGGTTTACTATTCGCTTCTCAGAGCAGATCAGTTCTGCGCACAAATATAAGAGCGAAATTTCGCGCCTAAAAAAGGCTATTTTTATGTTTCGAAATCTGTAAGCAAAGATCCAGCTTAACAGGAAGTGTGATTCGTCGGAATAAGAGCTTTGAGACGTGATAGGAAGTTCTAGGCACAATTTATTATCAAAAATGTAATGGAGGGATGGTGAGGTCAGAGGACAATGTTATCGCTCATGAAATGCGGAGGTTTGTGTAGTTCAGTTCTCAAAACCAGAATTCTCCATCGCGAATTATCTTCCCTTAGCAAGATACAAAGAGTCATTGTGTTTGCAGTAGTTCCAAGTTTAGATATCTCATCTTAAAGTTCTAGCTCCTGAAACCCGGAACTTGAACCAGAAAGTGAAAGCGCTCCGTTAGTCTGGAGGCGACTTGATTACGAAGAATCACGATTGTCGCAATCTTCCCAAGGTGAACTATTTTTCTATGGCGAGACTAGAGTGGTCGAAAATGTTGGTAACAAAGATCTAATGTTTAGGCTCAAGCTAAATTGCGTCGAGTGTATTTTAGTCAGAGAACACATCTATGATCAACATGAGTGTACAACTTTTTTTTCTCCTTCTACAGCTCGTTCTGCTCCAACAAGCAATTCAGAGCTCTTCACTAATGGTATATTTGCCTCGACAAATGGGATTCCTAGCTTTGGGCTGTCAAATGGCCTCGGAAAGACCCATGATGTAACAGCCATAAGCAATGGTTATGTTGATTACCAAGTGATATCTCGCAATGGTATTCATGGAACAGAGAAGCGTGAACCAAGCCCAGAATTGACGGTCGGTCACGGGAGACCAAAGTCTTCGCCGAGGCAACAGAAGCGAAGCGGCTCAGATTTTGAAAATGGCGAGAATTTGAGTTACGGCTTATTCCCGTTTACTCCAGAGGTAGATACACGGAATCTCCATTGTGATGCTTTTTTTTAAGCTTAATTTGCGCGGTTCTTTTGTTCTCTCTTTATTGCCCTCGCTGTGTGCATTACATCTCTCTCTCTCTCTTTGCTTAGTTCTCTGTCTGGCCACAGTTTGAAACATAACTTGTTCTATACGATTTCTATTGTGGTTCAACCCTAAATGTGGGTTCTCTTTGCCTCCTCGCACCCCACACCCTTCCAGGTTAAAAAGGCCTTCACAACACGTAACCTCTACAATCTATCTCAAAGTGACCCTAAGGTGCTGCAGGCGAGATTATTCAACCATCCTCGTACAGATATGAAAACTGAACATGTCTTAACCTTTTAACTCCAGTGAGTGACCAAGATAGAATTTCTCCTTACAATATCAATACACTATCAAGTAGACAAGTGATGAGAATAAAAACAAATATCAATTAGGGGATTCTTAGTTGATCCAATACCAAATTCTCCAAAATAACATCACAAGAACTATCATGGCAGACATTAAAGAGAATTTCTGATGAAATCATGGGAGTTAAAGGGTTCAAGTGACCAAGATTATGTTTGTGTCTGCTCATGTAAATTCTACTTGTTCCAAATGTTTGACTCGATAATCATGAATTCAGTCGAGCTCTCTATTGCGTGATAGTCGAAGACGGTGAGACCTAAATCCTCTATCACGCATAGAAATCAAAAGCGAATAATCCAATTATCATGATCTTCGTATTAATCTACTAGTCTTTCAAAACATAAGCATAAGAGAGGCTCGTGTTTTAATTGAATAATGATACAAATGCGTCACACTGTTAGGTTATTCATTTCACTTGACATCTATCCATCGTGGAATGGATAGTGAGTAGTTGGCTCATCAGATTGCAGCGTAGATTGTACTAACAATAGATATACGTTTGATCCCAATTTCGTCAAACAGTTCATAGGTGCGAATAGTATCGATTTATTTTTGTTGACGTACTTGTCCTCTGAGATTGGACGATTACAGAGAACACTTCCGCAAACGTTAAGATTTTGTGTGTTTCTTGCAGACAAGCGACAAACTGAAGCAAATTGAAACTCCAAGACATGGTGTGACCAGCGAGAGACAGGGCACAGCCGACGTTATCAACTCGCAAGTGCTCTCGGGTCTCAATTCATCATTCGCCTTCAGACTTGGTGGCAAGGAGGGTATCGCAGACCCAATTCCTCGAAGATGGTCCGATGTAAGTCTTGAAAGGTATTCATCGAAATCTCCACCTTTGCATGGCAAAGCTCCAGGCTACCTTCAAAGGGCGTCCGTCAGGAGTCATTCCGAAAGCGAAGTCGTTTCATCAGGCTCCAACCTGAACGGACGTCAGCAAATTCTACGCAGAAATGTCCCAGAAGGATCTTTGGGATCCCAGCCAAAACTTGGAGACCTTCAAGAAAGTATTCTTCAACTGTTGCAAATGCATGAACCGCTGGCACCCTTGCAGATTGTCGAAGCTTTGGGCCGTGGGACACGGGACGAGATTCACCAGGCGCTTTGTGCACTCCATACCAAGGAACGTGTCAAAGCTTTCCAAACCAATGGGACGACAGTATGGGCCTTGATTTCGCAACCTACCTGTGATTGGCGAGCGAGTCCAGGGGTCATCGGTGGCGAAAGAAACAAGAAGTTTTTTGGACGAGGTTCTTTTGAAGAACTCTACGGGCTACCAAGGAGGAATTTTTCTGTTCTTGGATACGATAATAGACCAAGGAAAGCCCCACGTGCCATCGATGGCCAGAAGGTATGGCTGCGTTCTAATGGACACAGTCCAACACCAGTTGAAAAGAATTCTTGGACTTACTGCAGATTGTGCAAATTTTCGTTTGCCTCGGAATCACAATATGAGGAGCACCTTCGCACTACGAAGCATCAAAACAAAGTGGCCAAGTTTAGTCCGACTTCCTACAAGAAGTACTGCGAGTTCTGCAACGTGAACCTGAATTCCGAGTCGCAAGCCAACGAGCACTTCAACAGCGCTAGACACGAACAGACTGTGGCCAAGTCGCAAAAAGCACCCCCACAGCAACATCTGCCACTGATCAAAGCCTCCAAGGAATTTTTCATGGAGCAGTTCACAAGCACCCAGCCGTTTAACTACCAGTTAGAGTTGTATAGCAAAGCTATGTTGACCAATGGAGTTTGCTTTTTACCAACTGGAACGGGGAAAACACTTGTTGCTGCTCAGGTCATTGCCCACATGCTGAAGTTAAACCCATCTCGACAAGTGGTGTTCTTGGTGGATCGAGTTCTCCTTGTTCTCCAACAAAGCGACTACCTTAGAAAGGAAATGGGACATATTCGAGTAGCAGACGAGCGAGGGTCTTTTGAGAGCACCAGGTCTATCCGCATTGGAGCGGTCTGCGGGGAAATGAGGAAACTGGAGGGAAACGCACGCATTTACGAGCAGGACGTGCTGATCATCACAGCCGACTGCTATCGGAATCATCTGAATAATGGCACCCTTCGCTTTGACGACGTGTCTTTGATTGTGTTGGATGAAGCACACCATTGCAACAAGGATCATCCCTACAACGTCATTATTCGGGACTTTTATCTCCAGGAAGATGTCCATCTGGGGCATCGACCCAAGATCCTTGGACTGACAGCATCTCCAGCTGGGGAGACGTCTTTGGAAAAAACCACCAGAAGATTACAAAGGCTACTGGGAAACCTCGGAGAGGCGGAGCTGTTAGTCGTGACGAGGAATGGGCTAGAACTGGAAGAGAAGACCAACAGGGCAACTCCTGACTGCATCTCTGCTTCGTACACCACTCAAGAGAGTAATCTCTTGGAAATTCTCGTGAAATATGTCACTAAAGCGTTCAACCTGACCGTTCGTTTGAGCGACATGAAGGACTTCAAAGACATTTTTCAACCTTCCTCTGGTGGTCCGTTCAGCTTCGATGACATCTACCCAGTTCTTGGTGTCATTGACAATATCTTACTCTCGCAACCTGAGTCCAACGCGTTGAACGCCTTGCTTCACTTCCAGCTGCTCTGTGAGGCTGTATGCACTTTGCAGGAGTGTGGTGAACAAATAGCGTTGTATCAAATGACAGAGCTTGCACAAGAGGCGTGTCCTCACGGCTTCCATTGGGCAGAAAGTATGGGTCTTCCCTGCGGCGAAGTCAGGGCATATTTGGAGCATTATCTCAGACAAGGTGAAGTGTGCTAACGTTAACTCTAGGTATCACTATTTATCGCCTTACTTAGCCTAGCCTTTGTTACCATTAGAGTGCCTTATGATTGAGTATCGTAAAACCAAAATCAAAGCAATCACAACAGCCAATCATAGGAAGGAAAATATTACCAATGAGAACTTGAATGAGAACTTGATTCTGATTGGTTGAGAAAGTGGCGCGAGTTTCCTGGAAAAAACAAAGCAATCCTGATTACGGTCGACACTCGATTGAAAATTCTCTATTGCAATAGGGTCAGTAAGCGTTATGGAAACTTGAAAAAAGGAATCGCATTATGATAGTAATGGTACTGGTTATAATATAGACATGAACCGTGAGCCTAAGACTCATTTTTATTACATATGAACAAAAGACGCGTCATTCTCCACTCCCATAGAGGCGTGGAATCAGTCTTGGAAAATGAACAGAAATGTTATTATTTTATTTATAACAACTAGAAAAGAAATATAATGCTATAATGGTTGTTAGTTCTCCATCGCAAGTAATGGAAAACGTTTAAAAGGGCCCCAGTAGAGTCGTGAAAAGTCAGGAAATTTTATAGCCTGTTCTAGATATTTCAATGCACACAAAATGATCTAAATATTCGGAATGCACTATTAATTTTATGTATGTCTTCCGCAGGTTTTCCATCGATCATTGAATGTAGAAACTCAGGAGCAGAGCGGCTCATGGAACAGTTAGTGAGAATAAACTGGACCGGAGTTATCGGTCGAAGCAGTTGTCTTGCCCTGGTACTCGTCAAACGACAACACACTGCACGATGTTTGTCGGAGTATCTTTCAAATCAAGGCGAGCTTATTTCTCGCGGTGTAAGGACCACATTCATAAATGCTGGCAGATCAGTGGATAAAGGTGAGGGCTTGTTCTCATATTTTTTCGATCTCCGCGGTCAAACGTCGGGTATGTGCAAGTAGATCAACTTTGGCGCCAATTTCACGCGCAAAAATTCAAAGGGAAACATTAGAAACATCTGCTATCGCTTGTTTGATTACGAGTATCCCGTTGAATTTAGAGCTTTATCGAAAAAAATTTAAACGCTTTTAAAACACCATGAACTTCCTAGTTTGTGTCATTTCTATTTCAAGATGAGAGGTTAAGTTTGTTTAGAATTTTTTTAAAAATGTTTTGACTGTATATCTTGTTTTGTCGTACAGGACTGACTTATCCCTTGGAAATAGACCCAGTCGCACAAACACGCGAGGGAAAATTTCAGATTGTCGTCACTACAAGCTTAGCCGAGGAGGGACTGGACCTCCCCGAGCCCCAGTGGGTGTTCCATATGGATCCGTCAAGCCCGGTCCAAGCCCTCCGGGAGATACGCGGTCGAGCACCCCTAAATGGATCCAGGTTTGTTGCTATCTGCCGGAACAACGAACAGACCAAGAAAATTGACGATTTGTTAAAGCGAGAGGAAAATATGAAGCGCTCCTCAAAACTCATAATAAGTAATTTGTGAGTAATCTGTTAGTTTCAAATGAATCTTTCAGTCCAGTCCACTAATCTTATTTTATCGGGTGTTCAAATGTTAAAAAATCGATCGAAATATCGCTGAGTTAATGTATCCTGGCTGTTTACGAAGCCCGACTAAATCAGGAAGTGCGGCGTCTTTGTAAGAACAATGTGTTCGAACCCAAATTTACCAAAAAAAAAGACTCATAATCTTTAAAAGTATAGGGAAGGAAACATGAAATTACATTCACGAGTTGCAAGGAAAATCGTCATATACGGGAGTCTTGATTTAAGAATACTGCGTTCGAATTTGTCCTCTATGAACAGCCATAGACCAATGAAACATTCCTATCTTTTATTTGATTACCATTTATCCATAAAAGTCTTACCATTGTCAGTAAGATGTTACATACGCAAGAGAGATTGGGATCAATATCAGTATCTGGGCAACTGCCCACCTACCCCTTCCCTAACCCAACATTAACCCTAACTTGTAATCAATTGACTGTTGTTGAGTTAGGGGAGGGGTAGGTGGGCAGTTACCCAGGTACTGATATTGATCCAGAGATTGTTAATATCGTTGATACTATTTCGCTTTTATTTTGGGGTTAATAATATTCAAGGAGAAATTGAATTAATAAGTTTTATTTGATATATGACAACAAGTGTAGGTTTGATCCGGACAGAAAAAGGCTAACCTTCCGGGTTTGTCATATGAAGCGAAAACAATTGATCTAAATTGTAATGAATTAAATCAAAGGCGAAATTGAATAATGGCAAGATTATATTTGAGTGTCTAATTTAAATGTCCATACATCCCTATTTACACAGTTTGATTAACAATATGTGGTGAGTTGCTTTGAGTAAATTTAATTCCGAACTCGCAGACCTTTTTACAGCTTATTGGCGCCATCATAATTTCGCCGGTAACTTTGAGCTTCGAGGTTGTTCTTACGAATCTTTTATATTACATTTATTTCTTCATTGCGTAGTTATGTTCATAAAATATGGCGCCTTACGCTGAAATTAGGTCTTTTGATCAATGGAAATTGTTGTTAAATATGAAGAAAGTCTTCAGATTTGAACTGTTTAAACCCAATGTGTTTGATACGTATCAAAAGAAAGGAGACTTTGACTACGATTTCAATATTCCACGCGGATGTATTTTTCGATTGCTACGGGATTACAGCAAAAATTTAATACGAAATCGCATTTCACTAATGTGCATAAATGTCCAGATAGTCGTAGAGACTTTTTAGAAGTAAAGAATAAGCTGTTTTTGTAGAATTTTCGCACGCTGAGCAACATGAACGAGAAAATTAAACAGAATTTGAAACTTATTCAAAAACATTCCTTCCTTTTTTTTTCAATTTGATCTTTAAATCCTCACGAAAATTTTCAGGATCAGTCATGTCAGGTTTGATGTCAAAAAACTATATTAAAAAAGTATTTTAGGTCTAGATAATGCAGATTGTTGGACTGCCAAATAAGTTTTGAAAAACAATAAGACCAGCGGAATAGTGTACTGATATCAAAGAAGTCATGTCGTTGTTACTACGGTTCGGGAAAAAACCAAGGAGACTTTGTTAACGAAGGCAGGTTTCTTACACAGCACGAAAAGAAACGATTTTAAATCAGAAACACAAGCGATTCGGTGGGTTTAGGTAGGAGATACTTAATTCGGATGGCTGAAGATGAAACTTGAAAAATGTTTTTGATATATACCGGACGTGCGTGACGAGAATGACATACGTGACAACCGTGACATCAGCGATACTGCTACTTATGGAACGAGTTTATCATCTGTTTGCACTAGCGTGATTTCCTTCGCATAAGAAGCTTTGTGTAGTTTGTTGTGTTGGTAAGCTTAATTAAGAATATTTTTTTCTAGTGTTTGCGTTTAAAAACCCTGAAAACCTTAGAGCAAGTAAACGCCTCGTTTGGTACCCTTTGAGTTGAAAGATTTTTAAAGTCCACTGCACGGAGAAAGAAAAACAACTCTTCCCCGAGTGTTGATTATATTCAAAGCTGTTGTTCTCAAAGAAAAGAAATTTCAAGTTTGTCGAGACCGATTCTCAAAGCCAACTATACAGCGCAGTCGAAAAAGTCGAAAGTCGAAAATCGCATGAACCTTCATTCAACAAGCTTTGGTATTGCCTAAATAATCCCAAGAGTTTTCACAGTAATATGCAGATGAAATATCTTAAGGAATAAGTGAAATATGCAGTCATGTAATTAAGAGTCAATTAGGACTTGCGTGTGAATTAGTGATTACGTTAAGATGTTATATTCATGGAATTATCATTTATAGTTGAGTAAGGGTAGATTTAATATGGCAGTTATTGTTAACTTACGTTCGTATTTCATGATTTTAGAGCAATTTTCATTTGGGTGTCAGAAGTAACCCCAGATTGCTTTGAATTTTTAACTTTGCTCTCTGATTGGTCCAGAAATTTCTTGCCTTCCTCTCAATCAATTAGATGCAAAACTAAAAAACAATCGCGACTTGGTCATGTGCGTTTTCGCGCGCTTCAAGCTGTTTGCTTGTTTCCAGTTTGATTTCTCATCGGCTAATGATAAACATAATCCTTTGTTCTTATTGGTCCCTGGGATTACTTCGGTTTTAGTTTCTTGACACTCGTTTGAAATTTTGCCCGAAGGCGTACTATTAACGAGCAGTATCTAACTGTTCATCTTGCCTTGTTCTTCAAACATTTTATTACAATAGCGCAGGCGTTACAAGGAACCTAAGAATTTCCAACTTGACCTCAGTAAAATCTTTAGAGCTATTTAAAAGGAGTTTAATTCGATTACTGTCATGTTTTTCAAGCAGACACAAATTCTTGCTGAAAAGCACCCGGTAACCAATTCAAAAACAATGAGTTCGAAAAGGGGAATTCATCCCTATAAGACGAACTTGGTTTGATAGCGTGTTTGTAGCGTGTTGATACATTTTCAAATATATTTGTAATTTGATTATTTTATCTATTTTTTGGCATTTTAGTTTCAAATGTCGTATTTATAGAGATCTAGTTGTAAAGCTAAAGGAAAAATATTCTAAAGGTGGAGTTTTTATGTATCAAGTGTGAACTTAATTTAAATAAACGTATGGAAGACGACTATGTGTATGCGCCTGAGTCTGTTTTAGCCAGAGTAATTTCCAGTGAAGTGTCGGAAAAATGTTGTAATTGGTTCAGAAACGCTCGCGCCATTTTCCCAACCAATCAGAAGCGTGGAACCTGTCACGTGCATCAAGTTGGTTTATTTGAGTGTGCCCGCCAGCGTAACTGCTTCGTTCTCAGTTGTCATGTAGTGCAGTGTTTTTAAACAGATTTATAAAATAATTCAAATAGTACGCGCGCTCTGATTGGGCATAAAACCATTTTACATGAGCGTATGTAAACACGGTTTCCGTTCCTCTTTCATTAAGCTGGAAACCACTCCGCTTCGCGTCGTGGTTTCCTACGCTTATCTCGTGTTCTCCCAACCTCCCGTGTGTTTACATCAGGCTATGTAAACACGGAAATCATTTTACATTTCTTCATTAGAATACCTTTCACACGGCATCATGGGGTCTTTTGCAATTGCGATATTTGGAGATACTCACGCAGCAATAAACCTAAACACGCTGAGTAAGATCTCGAGTGTAAAAGTCGGCAAATCAAGAAGCCTGCATTCCTTACACTTTATGAGAAGTTCGACGCATTATTAGCAGTTTAAATGGGGCAGCAGCTTAGAGTGATCACAAAGTTATTCTCCCATTACAGCCCAACATATGAGGGCATATTCTCCACACTGTTCTGAGCACATATCCTAAACTACTTATAAGGAGAATTTGTCTGACAATCAAGAGCTTCTTGACTTCACGATCATCTGCAGTATTCTCATGACCTTAGTATTATATTAAAGGCTAATACTGTTGCGAGAAATTAGATGCTTGTCACCCTTGGGGGTTGGGTGTTAGCTGCAGTGCCAAATAATGTTCTTTTCTTTACGCATTTGAACAAATGGACACTACTGTCTAAAATCATGTACTAGTGTCTATAATCGGACACCAGTGTCTAAAATCAGACACCATTGTTTAAAATCGGACATTACTTTCTAAAATCGGACTCTAGTGTCTGAAATCGGACACTGATGTCTGAAATCGGACACTGGTGTCTGAAATCGGGTTTTAGTGTTCAAAATCTGATATCGGATTGTAGTGTTTAAAGTCGAACATTAGTGTCCAAAATTGGACATAATGTCTAAAATTGAACACTTGTGTTCAAAATCTGACCCTAGTGTCATACTATACATTTCCTGAGGTGCTGACAGAGAGAATTTGTCTGACAATCAAGAGCTTCTAGAGTTGCCGATAATTTCCGTCTGAGAACCTTAATGTGACTTGTGCCTGATTCAGGGGGGTGATCTTGTAGGGAGGAATTAGATGCTTGTCGATCTTAGAGCTTGAAGGGCCCTAACATCGCACTGCCTTTGCGTAATCCACAACGAGTCGGCTTACATCGGAGAGCCTTGTTAAGTTCGAGTGAGCGTGTGTCAAAACATTAACCATCGCTTAGAGGGAGAACTCCTTGGAGAGAACAAATGCACAAAATGCATGTAAATTATTCAGTGGATTGATTTCACACGCGTAGTTTTAGGCAATTTTAGAAATTGTAATTACATGAATGGGTTGCTGAAGGTGTGTGATAACTGAGCAATTTCACAGATAGAGGTGCATCTTGGACAACACCGGGCAGAAATTTGTGGTGTGGCTGTAGTAAAACTCTTCCTTTTTCATTATTTTGTTTTTCACCTTTTTTATACCAATTTAACACCGCGGTATCTCCTTGGTAGCACTCGTTCTCCGAAATAATATTTTTTAAAATTTGTATCTTCAAAGTGCCGTTTTATATCGACCAGGACCAGGATGGCCGAGTGGTTAAGGCGTTGGACTTAAGATCCAATGGACGAATTGTCCGCGTGGGTTCGAACCCCACTCCTGGTAAGTCTTTTTTTTTCTTCTTAATTTCTTAGCATAATTTAACGGTTTAAGTAGGAAGGAAACTCTATATTTAAACATCTTGCAAAGTTATATGACCGCCGAGAAAATCTGGTTTTTTTTTTCTAATTTCGGAAAAAAAATGATAGTACCGTGTTGACGGCATGAGTAGCAGTATATCATACTGCCTCCTCATGTAAGAGTCTGCCTCCCTCACCTTATTCGTAGAAGTGTCTGACGGATAAGATACATTAATATGAAATGTTCATTTTTTGCAATGTGGGTCATCTACTTCTG